TATCAAGGACCTTAGAAGTAACGGGATTAGATGGAGAATATGTAAGCAATAACGCACACATGGTTTTGTTTTTGAGCAATAACACGCACGAGCAGTCACGAGCTGTGGCTTTTGTACTGTCACGAAGTGGTCAAGGGAGATAACTGTATCATTTGGTGTTCACGAATGCGTGAAGAATGTAAATTATTTACAATTTTCAAGTATAATCAATTATAATTATCATACCGATTGAAGAACACATATCGGCAGCCTAGATGCTAAATAGTAAGTCATACACAATGGTTCATACATCAGTACAGTGCTGCATGGTATCAGCAGTGTTACAATTTGCGCAAGCCTCATCTGTTGCCGATCAACACAGAATAAAAAACGTCCCGTTGTAAGAGATAAAAAAGATGTAAGTTACTACAGCCTTTATGCAATATACTACTTTTTGTTTTATCATTTTACGTGACATTATCTAGCATGACAAACTTTGCTAGATATAGAGGTCTGAGTGATCCTATCCTAGATACTGCAAAATCAGGTATTTTCGTGGGTCTCTAATGTCGCGTATAAAAAAGAGCTATGTCACGGGCACTTGATTTCGTAAATGAGTAGTTCTCAAAGTTAATGTCAGGTCGCTGAGTTCTTATTCGTGGACATCCTCAACATTAATGGATAAATTATAAATTAACGGAACCTTGGGTTGGGATTGACAAAGATTCCTTTGTCTGAACCGTTCTCTGAAAACTTATATCACCATGAAATTAAATTCTGTATAATTGTTTCAGTTTGTCTCTGTCTTTTGTTTTCTTTATTAATACGCATCCTCAGGTGATACGCATGCCTATTAGAATATAATTCAGTTGATTGATTGGTTTCTTTTTAAGATTTGACAGACTGAGTTAACAGTTATAAAGACGACAGTATACAACACCACTGCAAAAGCACGCTCAGACCTTTCAATATTTCGGATGTTATGTTTTCAATTTTAAGTTAAACGATTATAACTTGAAGTTTACGAACATACACATCAATTACCTATGTGATAACGGGGTTCAACTGTTTTCAATCGCCAATTAGCCATGACATTGTAACACCGATACCAGTGATTGTCAGTATTCCTTAGTTATGCCATAAACACAGATTGAGGATGGATAATTTGTAGTAATGTTTTTTACATATAGGGCCATTTGAAGGAATATCTGATCATCTTTTTTATCTAAAAGAAATATTTCTGTGTATTTTATGTAACAAGTGACGTTGTTTTGTCCACAGCAAAGGACATGGGTCCAATTACTTTTCACAAGTAGTATTTGTCCTCGTTACATTGTTAGGACGTCCCGGTGATAATCAATTAAAGAGTGTTATTTAGTGAAACACAAACCAATTTTAGTTTTGTGCAGATATCAATTTAATCGAGCTAACACATATTCTTTCTATCTCTGTGCAACCCAAGCACATTTGCTGAATTACTTACGCAAAAAACGATAATTATTTTATGTTTGATATCACAGAATGAACGGCCTCATATATGGTAGTGTTTTTTCTAATACTGTTTTAGACGTATCAATATTTTACTTCATACATTACTGGATTAGTCTATCATGTATCGAAGGTACATATGACATTAACAAAGTCAGCAAACTGCTGTGTTTGTAAATATCGAAAATAAAATTTGGGATATAAAAAAGATCATTAATTTTATCTGTTTATCGAATGTTAAAAAGTTTTTATCAACTTTTTTTTCTTGTGTGTGTTTTTTTTTCAAACTTGTATTAAGTTAGAAAGTTTTCAAAACGTATTCGTGCTACACAATGTTATATTGATTTCTCAATTAATCCAATGATGACTATTACAATACGTTCGTGGATTAAATTAAAAATCAAAGCAACATATTGGAATTTTGTATATACTTTGATATTAATGGTGAAGCTTTCTTTCGATTTCAAATATAAAAAGAAATAGCGATTGTTATTATACGTAAATGAACCATTCCCTTTCCACACCACAACCGACAGTACGTGTGATATTACTAACCTATTGATCAGGTATCTTAATTCACACCTGTTTATGCACGTGCTGGTCACGCCTGGAGTCGATAAGCCGCACATACAGAACAAAGTAACGGTCATAAAACCCGTTGACCTCGTGGTAAAGATATGCACACGACCAGTGTTGACTTGATCGTATGGACCAAACTGTCGAATCGATATGATTTTATTTATTTTTCTTGGTACAGTAAACCTGAGATCTGTACAAATGCACCAAGGCATTGATTCTCATATATATATTGGTGAATGTTTTGAAACGAAACATATGAAATCGTAGTGTTAAATTTAATTTAGCAAATCCGCCCTTCCAGTTTGATTTCAACATTTGTTTTCCTAAAAAGACGTTACAAGCGGAACTGTGAAATATGAATTCACGAATAACTATCAAATACTCTGCTCCTCAAGTTCCGATGTACAACGTGCGACATACCTATATAAATGTACCGATAGCGAGGACATTTGTAATAAGTGAATGAAAACCAAACCGGAAGTAATCTATAAAAGAACAAGAAAAGAAATTCCTAAATTTTAGATCGTTTGAATTGAGTTGGATTAATTTTTGAACTGTTTCAAACAGGAAATTTAGGTTTCTCAAAACGGACGTGAAAAGGCACGGGGTTATTTGCCCGGTCACTTGGGTTATAACCTGTTATTCCGGTTTCTTGCGCGCTGCCGTCCGCGGTTACAAAAGTAATAAATACAAACCGGATAACATATTTTTATATTGTAGTAAAATAGATAAAGTTTATAATTCAATTTTGATTTAAACATAAAAGGTTTTTTAGTTTTCAATATTATTACTGTTAGTTTGAAATAAATGCAATAGTTGTACTAGTATTCAACGGGAGGTAACTCTCATTAAGCTTCAGAAACAAGCTTTGTCATCTAGACATTATTGTTACAGATTTCGATATTTTGTATTTTATAGAATCATGCCTTGACGAAACAGTCTTGAATAATCAGCTAAATATTCTCGATATTTTCCCGTAAGGATAGAAATTCTCGTGGAGGGTATATAAACGACAATAAAAACAGTAAAACATATCCTGACACTACTGAGTTCGATATTTAACAAGAGTTTATCATACCTCAATCCTGTACCAGTATCACTGATCACCTGACAGGGAGATAAAACGCAGTGAACGCCTTGATGGTGAGATTACGTCATGTTCCAGAGTTGCCGCCCTTACATTTGTTTACCTTGGTTACCTGAGTTACATCGTAATCGATTCGAATCTGATAACAAAGACGCAAAATATCGAGACATTGACAATTTTCCATGACCGGGCTAGGCTGAAATGAGAACAAGGTATACAGAATCGAAAACTACAGAAAAACTAACAACCATCAAACAAATAGAACATTTCTCAATGAGGTCGTTAGGACGACCGTAAAACATCCCCTTAATTTTCACCAAACTTCATCTTTTGAAACCCTATGTTACAATTTCGCCCGTAAGGGATTTTACGTCCTCGGAACAATCAACGTCGTAAAACACTAACGGTCGCTTTTATAGTTTCGTCACATTAAATTGTATATACCTAAACACGGTGGCTTGACACCACATCCGGTGATTATACTGACTAACGGGTAACACGTATTTGTGTATTACATTCCATGTTGAACGTCTAACACAGAGTAAAAAAGTATTATTTCATTAGTTTTGTCATAAGTTGGGAACAGAACCATGACCTTTGGCTTACGCTCAGTCCTAATGCCTAAAATGTTTTTTCGACAAGAAAACATGAGGGAGGTCAAGAAAAAAAATTGAAAGAGAGTTCTTACAGGTTCTGGTAGTCAACAACTTTTTTTATTCGATAATGAGGTTTGAGAATAAATCACGTGATATTCATTAATAAAATTCCATGGCCTACATTTCCTGATTTTCATGGGAAAGATAGTTCTTATTCAACAAAAAAGTTTCAGAAATGAGATTGTATTAGGATCAGAATCGTTATTTTGACCAATATGATTTATACTGTGAACATTTTACCGATATAAGGTTACAATTATCCTTTGTGGTGTGGATAAACAATTTCTTTTGACAAGGGTTAGCCTCGCACCCAATCGATACATATACGTGCTGTGGCATTATCATAAGCCGAAAACCTTGAGTTTGCAATTGAAAGGCAGTCACAGAATATCATCCTTAAATTGCATTAAAGTCACTGGCAATGAAAATAAAAATGAAGTTGAAATATCCCGAGTTATCTCCCTTCGGAAAACCAAGAATTTTCATTGGTCGATCATTTGTGACATCATATCCGCCATCAGACACATACTCTTTAGTAATGTTTATCAAGACTGTGTACATTAAATTGGCTATATTTGATTACACAAGCATGTCCAGTATCATAAAATGACTACGAAGTGGATTTTGACCATAACAGTTTCAGCCTCAAAGTAGCTCAACGATGTCCGGTAATGTGGCTCGAACTTGATTGGTCGGTATGGTGGATGTTAGATATCCCTTTTGCGTGATACTTAATAACACAAGTGTATTTGCATTTTGGTATTGTTTGTTTCATGGATTGATTGCTATGGATAACGTGCTAAATCTCGTGTTTTCTTATAATTAAAAAAAGTCGGGATCAATGAGAACGATTGCAAATAATAATTCAGAACATGACACAAATTCTGTACTTGTTACTCAAATCAGATCATATAAAAAATGAATTCCCATTTATTTAGGGGCAGAGGAATTCCCACACGAAGCTTAATTTGTCATGGTCGACGAAGATGAAGATAACATTTAATGAGAAATCAGAATCGGTCTGTATGTTTTTGTGCCAAGGGAATATAGATATACTGAGCTACCACTAGTATCAACACGCATGAACACATTATCTGCATCCATCAATTTATCATATTTTGAGTATGAAATTATTCCACGACATCAATTTAAACGGGACAACTGCCTTATAGTACACCATTCCGCTTTTTCAGTCCTCAGCGAACACTAACATGGCGTCAACATTGAAACTCACAGGTGAGGCACTGTTTATCTGCACCGTTTTCTTGATGTCCAGTCCTGGATCATGTCAAACCTCAGACGATGTCAAGGCTCTGTTGACAAACCGCTTCCAGACAAACTCTTATAACAAGGTCGTGCGACCAAGACTAGATCAGACAGCCATTTTGCCAGTCGGTATTGATCTGTTTCTCGCTGGTAGTATTTCTATCGACGAGGTGAAAGGAAAAATGTATTCATCAGCATACGTAAGCCTATTCTGGACCGACGAACATCTAACATGGTCGCCTTCTATTTACAATGGTCTTCATACTTTGCACGTCCCCCCTGATACCATTTGGAAGCCTGATATTATATTAAGAAATGGCTTTACCAAGTTGGAGGAGTTCGGCAGTGATTTTTTGATGGCAAAAGTTGGTTATGACGGAGAAGTGATATGGGCACCATTTGAAACCTTCGAAACGACATGCGATGTTGAAATTTCCAGTTTTCCGTTTGATATCCAGACGTGCAATGTCACTTTTGATGTATTTTCATATAAAATCGATGCCGTTATCCTTTACGTGGGATTCAATAGCGTCGATCTCGAATTGTACTCTTCTAATGGAGAATGGGAACTCCTATCAGCAGCACATACCTCAGGTGTATCTAATATTGGAAGCTCTTATGTCACATTCTCTTTTACTCTTAAACGGCGATCAGAATATTACATCTTCACCATTGGTATACCAGTGATGTTTTTATCTCTTTTGTCAGTGTTCACATTTGTTATACCTCTAGAGTGCGGTGAAAAGTTAGGATTTTGTATGTCTGTATACTTAACATTTGCTGTGTTTCTGACGCTCATTGAATCCACACATCCGATTACACCAACCCAGTCTATATTGAACCAATATGTACTCTTCCTTGTTGCATTTGGAAGTATCATTGTCATAGTAACGGCGTTTCAGCTTCGGATGAATTATCTGGACACTAAATATCGTAGGATCCCGTCGTTTCTGAAAAGTCTCGTGATAGTTTGCAGGAAATTGCAATGTCAAAACAGAGTATCTAGTGCAAACAACAACAATCGACTCGGCGGTGATGTGGTTTTGGATGAAGAAGTACGGCCAAAGGAAGAACGGGAAAACGTGACGGTTCCAGAAAATATAACATGGCAGGAAGTGACGTCAGCTATTGATTTTGTGTGTTTTTGGTTGTTTTTAGTAATCATTGTAGTTGCTTCATGTTCATTTTTTCTCCCGACATATTTTAAGAATTCATAACAAGATTATTTTCAAAACATATAGCATTTGTTTGCGAAGTTGACGAAAGATATTCTCTGAACGAAAAAAAAATTCTTTCATTTTGATGACGTTCATTACTAGAAATATCTTAAAAATGTAATTCAGCGTCATTTTTGTCAAATTGTAGAATGGTTGTACGAAATGTGATTCTGGTGAATTATACCAAACACAGAGAACCTTGTAATTACAAGCTTTATAGCTGGATTTCTGTCATATGAAACTGGTTTTCAATGTAATGTCATTGGTAGTGGAAATCGTCGAATCCACCAAGAAAACTGTGAAAAATAGACTGCGAGAGGTACCCGCGTCACCAGTACGCTGGTTTGCCGCTGACACATCAACGTCGAACACTTCGCATGTGATGGTTGACCATCACGTGAGAACTTGGCATGACTTATTTTATCAATATTTACAAGGTGGTTGTCGTCGATGAATGACAAGATCCTTCTAGAACTCATGGTTATATTCTCATTGTACTTGGTCCTCATGTGATTCTTTGTTTTCTTAATGTTTTGTATTTGTTTTATTGCCTGTTACTTTGAACTAAGATCTCATTAAAATGTCGGTATTTTCTAAAGCACGTGTTACATTACATTACTATAGCACTGAGCTTGGTTGTTGGGGGGAGAAGGATTAGACAAATGTACCCTCTATTGTTTGTTGTGATTATCGCTCCGTGAACAGTCAAACATCAATGCTTAATTACACACCTAAAGAAAGAAAGACAGTATCCGCTTGGAATTGTCGGACTATCAGCTATATTTAGCAATTGAATCCCATGATGCTGTGCGCATAGTGCACAATATCTTCTGAGTATCATACTGTAGTTTCGCCGAGTTACCGTAGCACAGTGGCTGATTTGTGCACTTCGTTATTTCGTCTTTTCGCTCGAAAAAGACAAGCATTAACAAACTTGATTTTCCTCTTTTTCGCAGCGAAAAGAAAAATATGTGACACAAATCAGTGACCGCAGCAAAGTCATGGAGATATTTGTAAGATATCTGCCTTTGTATAAGATCCAGTTGTATGATAAACATCGATCTAACACCTTGTCACTACTCTCCCGCATTTTGGCGCACTCTTCGTTCGATACACATCGTCATTGTTCTGAATAAAGCGGAAGATAGTGCTATGTTTAGAATAGTAACCTCCTGGACACTCGGAACGCCCAGTATGGTTATTAAAACCTTAATAATATATTCCCCCTTAATACAAATCGAAGCAACTAAATATCACAACCCAAACAGACACTAAGTACCTCCTGAAACACACTTGTGAACCACTTTTAAGACACTTTAACTCGCCCAAAGGATAATTATAACCATCTTAAAGACACTGTCACATGACAATACTGAAATACCCAAAAGCCATTTTGAATAATCCAAAAGATACTTGTAACCATCCAGAGAGACACTGTGAACTACTTAAAACAAACTGGTGAGCTACACAAAAGACAATTACATTAATTCAAAAGACATTTGTAACCGCCCAAAAAAGACACTGTGAACTACTTAAAAGAAACTGGTGAACTACACAAAAGACAATTACATTAATTCAAAAGACATTTGTAACCGCCCAAAAAAGACACTGTGAACTACTTAAAAGAAACTGGTGAACTACACAAAAGACACGTGGTTCAGATCGTCAGTATTTCTATTATAATAATGGACACTGAACTACCACCTGACGTTACAGGTCGCGATCATCATGATAAGCATTTATTGTGTCTACAAAAGCCTGGTGAGTACGCATGTAAACGCTTTAGCAAAGCAACGTTTCCCGATGATTTTTGTACTATTTACAAGTACCACGATGTACGAGTTTGGTGGTAATTTTATCAGACAACACACACGGTGTACCACATAAACGTGTGTAACCGTGATTTTGAGTATCTACTTGTACCAATACGTACAAGTGTCGACATTCACATGTCTTTTATTATACTAATGTGTGTTGTTAACCAGTGAGCATTTTACCACAAACATGTTTGACAATTTTAGTGCAACCAAGAATTTTACCGGGAATTTATGTTGAATATCCCCTATAACACACGAGAACCTTCACGTATCAGCTTAATCATTGCCAAAAGTCAACATATTCGTTTGATCCACTTTTGTTTTTCTTATCAATACAGCCATCTTGTTTGACTTTGTTGTAGGCTGTAGATAATGAATGAGCACACCTTTATTGTATTGGTCTTTCTCACTCTGAGAGCAGGTAAATACATATTTTTTATTTTAACTTTTTAATCGGCATATATATACATATATATATCAAGAAACAGGCTCAAGTGGTAAAAATAGATAGAATGTACTGATTTCCATCGTCAATAACACAGTAACGGTTCAATTACGTGGATTCCTATATCTTGTTCGTACTAACTGTAACGAATCGGTCTTTCTCAGCCCACATCGGCAATCAAACTTATCACTTAACCATCAGAGTGAAAAGAATGGCAATAACTATGGGCGATCAAAATACGAATCGGTACGGTGCGTTTTAACGGAACGCAACTAACCCTCACCTGACCGTTCAAAGGGGCTGTCTTCGCTACAGAATCTGGATCTCGAATAAAGAAATCGATTGTTTTTAAGGTTGATCGCACACGATACTTTTTAACACATGACAAGTTGAAAAGAAATAGATTATTTGGAGGACATATATTTTTAGTTTAGTAATAGTTTTGTGACAGTCTACCAAACAGCTCCTGGTAGTGTGTGACAGTCTACCAAACAGCTCCTGGTAGTGTGTGACAGTCTACCAAACAGCGCCTGGTAGTGTGTGACAGTCTACTTAACAGCGCCTGGTAGTTTGTGACAGTCTACCAAAGAGCTCCTACTAGTATGTGACAGTCTACCTAACAGCGCCTGGTAGTATGTGACAGTCTACCAAACAGCTCCTGATAGTGTGTGACAGTCTACCTAACAGCGCCTGGTAGTATGTGACAGTCTACCAAACAGCTCCTGGTAGTGTGTGACAGTCTACCAAACAGCTCCTGCTAGTGTGTGACAATCTACCTAATAGCGCCTGGTAGTGTGTTACAGTCTACCAAACAGCTCCTGGTAGTGTGTGACAGTCTACCAAACAGCTCCTGGTAGTGTGTGACAGTCTACCAAACAGCGCCTGGTAGTGTGTGACAGTCTACTTAACAGCGCCTGGTAGTTTGTGACAGTCTACCAAACAGCTCCTGATAGTGTGTGACAGTCTACCTAACAGCGCCTGGTAGTGTGTGACAGTCTACCAAACAGCTCCTGGTAGTGTGTGACAGTCTACCTAACAGCGCCTGGTAGTATGTGACAGTCTACCAAAGAGCTCCTACTAGTATGTGACAGTCTACCAAACAGCTCCTGATAGTGTGTGACAGTGAAAGCTGGTAACAACATCGTGAAGGAGTGATTCAAATTTATTTTCGAACTGAAAAACAAATTTCAACATAAACCAACATTCAGTCGCTGGAATCGAAATGCCTGCTTTATGCTGGCAATGTTCTCTTGTTAAAGGCGCACACGTACAGTTACGGATATCGTTGTTTCTCTCGGCATTCCGTGTCCCTACTAGTCAAACGTTAAAGTTTCCCCCTACTTACAAATACACCCTTAAACAGCATTTCATTCTAGAGGGAGGAGGGGGGGAGACAGACAGACAGACAGAGAGTCTGTTGACATACATGTATCTCTAACACAAGATGTGTAATAGTGTCTTATTTATTATCTAGTGATTATATTTTTCGTTATTTTCATATGAAATTGTGGTCGGTTCGGGTTTCAACGTACATTACGTCATTTTAGCATCAAATACTTGGCTATCCCATTACATTTTGTACCATCAGAAAACATCTTTATATGTAACTTATTCTAGTTGAAACTATGCCTCATATATAACATAGACACGTGTTATACATATTTATGTAGCATTAATAAGGTTAAAGAAAAGTCGCTCGGCCCCGGCATACTTTTATTTTGTTTTAGGTAATAATATAATAGATTCTGTATATAGCAATTGGGACAACTTATACAAAACACTATAATAATACTGAATTATGTGATTTTAAACACGTGTCAATCAATCAATGACACTTTTTTTTCAATATGGGCTTTGCTGGTGATTTATCTTACTGCTGGTATCCCTTTCTTGTTGACAGGAGCCGCAGGGCCGCTATGTTTCTCGTGTTCCTCAATGTCCCAGGCACATTTCTGTGATTTCACAGAGAGATGTAACGATTACCAGGTAACAATGATGTCTTTTCCTTTTATGACCCCGATATGCTAATGAAGCCTTACTACAGTGTCAAGGCCCCAGTCAAAGAAACACGTTATGCGACACGTTACGGGGTCCATTTCAAACCGTTCAACTCTGACCAGCCACAGCGTAGCCTTTCGTTGATGAACGGAAACGAAAACTATATGGGGAACGTCCGAGAACGATTGTGCAAGACGTTAATGCATTCTGTTGCAGTAGGGCTATTAAATCTGTTTATTGTTGCTTTATAACCCTATTAAGGTTTAAGGACATGGCCGGATTTGGTGATGGAGGAATAAATAAAGTGTTCCGAAATTATACGAAGTCGCTTACTTATAACCTTGCTCGACCATGAGCAACAAGCAGTTCCCTTCTTAACTCGCTTACTTATGACCTTGCTCAACCCTGAGCAACAAGCATTTCCTTCTTAAATCGCTTACCAATGACCTTGCTCAACCCTGAGCAACAAGCAGTTCCTTCTTAAATCGCTTACCAATGACCTTGCTCAACCCTGAGCAACAAGCAGTTCCCTTCTTAACTCGCTTACTTATGACCTTCGCAACCCTGAGCAACAAGCAGTTCCCTGCTTAAATCATTCCGTGTTGGTCGTATCACACGAGCCAACAGTGACATAACCTCATCCTCTTGAATCATAAAGAACGAGATATAAACCTCCCTCCATATCCGATATTGACCTCGGTCTGTGCCTCTTCTACCCGTCGCAGTTGACACAGATCCTGCTTACGTCGTGTTGGATTGGTCTGTCCTGACGCTCAAGGGGTAGAGTTTTTCTGATCCTGCTGGTCTATCTAGATTACTTCACTGTCCCGTCATGCGAAACACAGTCTGCTGACTGTACCTGTTAACATAATAATAAACCACGATATTTGCATATCAGGTACACGGATCGACTCATACGTCTGTATCAGAACAAACATCCATCTCGTACACAGTTCACACCCGTGACGTGTATCCGTCTAGCGGTTCCGACAATTAAGCTTATTTACCCCGTGACCATATACAAAATAGACACGTGACAGTAGAAATGGGGAAATCCCTATTTTATGTGTTTGACACATTCCATGTTTTATTTTCATTTGATTCACGGAACGCTCCGTTATTCCATTCCGAGATATTGATATCACGCTGAACTTTATCGTAATGTAATTATGATTTTTGAAAACACTGAATATTCATGCTTATTATTATTATTATTTTTTTTTTTTTTTTTGTAATTCCTTTATTTTTTGACAAGATTTTACATATTACACAATATACAATATACAAGAGAATCCACACAAAAACATACACCCATACTCTCACACGTGTGTGCTCTTACTTGAATATGTCTTACACATATACATGCATCGTCATCATCATCATCATCATTATCATCATCATCATCTTTATCATCATCATCTTTATCATCATGCACATATATCTACTACTTACTGCACACAAACTCACTCATCAACATTCACACCCACTTACACTCACATAGCAAACTTACATGTACTTAACAAAATACTCACACATACAAAAGTACAACATTTCCAGCAAAAACACTATTATGAAAACAAATTTTGAGAATAATTGGAAAAAATGGAACCCCATTTATTTAATTTCCACAAAATTAGTGCTATTTTTATATTCCTGCTTATATTTCAGGTTTGTTACGTCGAGAGAATCCTTACAAACAGTGGTCATATCAAGTTTACATCAGGATGTGTGAGCAACCAGGTGATATAACTATATGATAATATATCCGAGATATTAACAGATTGTATTTAACAATTTTATCAGTTCATGTTGTAATGTGCGATATGACGACATTGCTATGGTTATTTTTCAATTTATCGCCCTGTAAATAACCAGGTCATTTTAAGGAGGGATCTCTGTAGAAGCTGATGATTATCTCAGGAAAAACATATTGACGACCCATCGTAGTTAAAATTGCTTGCAAACATGGAGACTGTATGGTTCAAGGAAACAGTCATATGACAGTTTGCGGTCGGTAAAGATTTGGCCTTGTCAACCTAGCTCATGGTGCGGTGAAGATCTGAGGTGTAGGGTTCGATAGCCTTGGTTGTACTCAGGGCAATACACTTAACTCTAATTGCTCTATGTGGCATGCGACGGTCCTCCCATATGTACATCCATTTAATAGGGATCCACTTAAAAATGACAATAATTGTTCACAAGGCGAAAATGAAACAAGCATTGCCTTTTTGTTTGTCGCGCTGATATTTACCCTAATTGGCCGCAAGGTCTAAATTCAAAACAATGATTAAATGAATGAATGAATGAATGAATGGTAGGTGGTATCTAGTAACGGTGATGACACGTTAAAGACTGGTGCAAATTTTCTGTGTTTTCAGTCAGTATATTCGTGGATAAGCCGTATCAAAAGGAGAAATCGGTAACATTTTCTCTCATGGACAATGGTAATTACCGTAATCCCACAGTAACTTCCATGCATGTTAAAGTCAAGTATATAGATAAGGAAGTATCTGAAAAATAAAGGTGACCTTTGACCCATAAAAGAAGATACCCGGTTCAACAAAAATTGTTCGAAATCGAAAAATTTGTTCGCTTGACCGAATTTTAAGCAGTAATCAAAGGATACGTTTGAAGAAACAATAGTTAACTATATACGGCTATTTTGAAAAACGTACAACCATGAGCTTTGATTTTATTTCACAACGAGCAAGGTACATTTTTTTTCTATGGGTTTGTGACAGGGAAAAGCACATAATGCCATCATTTCTGTTAACAGACAACAATCTAAGCATATCCATATATATAACATCATCAAATCAGACGATCATATACATGTAAATAACCTATGTTTTAACTCAATGAAATCGAAACAGAAATGACCATTGTTTTGTTTTTATGTTACAGACTTGTACCAAGGACTACGTCACAGATTATGCTGCTCACGGTCGAGTCACGTGCCTGGACTGTTGTCAAGGAGACATGTGTAATAACAAAGGATGCGGTGACGTAGGTTTGTCTTATTTCGCATTAAGCCTGGGATCACCATGTTTTGGCAGTGTTCTCAGATTTCGAAAAGGCTTATAAACTGGTTTGGAATGAGGGTTTCCCGTTTTCATTAAAAGAAGTAAGAATAACGGAATATATTTGAATTCGTAACCATTTTTTTTAAAAAAAGGAAAATACATGTTAGAATAAACAATGAAGAATCAGACGAATTAACCTTAGAGAACGGAGTCACACAGGGTAGCGTGATATCTCCCACCTTGTTCAACATATATATAAATAAATTTGGTAAACAAATAAATAAACTGAGTAAACAGTGTAGGGAAGATAGGACAATTCGCCGATGACACTAGCATTTGGCAAACAATGATTATGTTTCGGGAAACAGACTAGACACAAATTAAATAAACTTTTTAAAGATATACTGTTCATTAATTAGGTCTAAAACAGATCATGGATGTCAAATTCATAACTCGGATTCACATAACGCCTTAAAAACACCTGGTATAATACAACACAAAACACTTAGAATAGCAACAGGCACAATAAAAAAACACACCCACCATAAGTCTACATGTGGAAACTAGTAAAATACCATTAAACCTTAGGAGAGAAAAATTAATATTGAAATACTGGACTAGAACTCAAACTCTAAGACCTGAATTAATATTGAAATACTGGACTAGAACTCAAACTCTAGGACCTGAATTTCCACCTAATGTTATAGTAGAACAAGCTAAGAACATTAAATATAGAGATAAACTAAAACAACACATTTATAACACCGTATTACTGTGTAACAAACAAACTTCTTGTCGGACACAAGTTAGACCAAGTTAAAATTGAAGAATTTATTCCAAATCCCACTCCGCTCTGGAAATTAGACACACCGGAAGTTAGCACCGAAATCTTCTATAAAGAAATAAAAACAAAAAGGAAAAACCGGCAGAAACGAAGACAAAACTAGGGCAATTACATTATCAATAATTTTGACGAAAAATATAACAAACATAACAAATATTATACTGACGGATCAAAAAATCCACAAACGAACAGAGTAGGGTTAGATATTTATTCCGGAGCAAACAACATTCCATTATCACTCAGACTGATCGATCAGTGCTCCGTTTATACCGGTGAAATAATATAATTAGCACTTAGACTTATTAACATAAAAATATCCATATATAAGGCAGTAATTCTCAGATACATTACTTCATTAAAATCAATTCAAACTGGGAATAATGCCAGACCTTATGTAGTTAATTCTATGTAAAATCTAGTAAAAAAAAACTTAAAACAACAAGGAAATTTTGTAAAGTTTGAGCATTTACCGTTATATGTCAAAAGAGATAGAAATGAAAAAAATAATTGAATATCTAGAAAAAAAAAAAAAAACACGAAAGAATCTAAGGTGAAATTACTCAAGACAAAAGTATTTTCTATTATCAATCAATCAATAATAAATGGTCAAAAACACAGGAAAAGATAGACAGATCAAATAAGCTTCGGAAAATTACGAATCAACAACATACAAAATCAAACTCATAAAGACATAATAAATTAGAAGATATTGTTATAATATGACTAAGATTAGGAATCACGAAGCCTAAACGAACGAGACAATAGATCATATTTTTTCTAAATTGCAATAGATTCGAACAGAGAAGATACGATCTCATTATCGAAATAAAAAGATTAAAACGCAAAACACATCCGTGAACTAGGTTTAACGTCACATGAAAATGGAAGACTAGTGCATATACCAGAGAGGTCAAAGGGAGACAACTCCCAAACATCAGAAACCTACACAACACTATTCACAACAGGTAGGATCCCAAGGACGTCCAGGGGAGACTTACCAGATTGGATTACTGCTGATCATCTCATTCATTGGTGCATACTGACACCTCATGGAGTATATGGTGTCCTCCTCTGTACCTCATCCGTCCCCGGATTCACGTTTATAAAATAGTCTACATAGTCTAAAATAGCCTAGATTTTTTAAAAATATCTCAAGACGTAATTTTTAACTTGCATTGTCAGCTTTAATCCAGTAACATATATTTTTGTGTTGCTTCGCTGATAGGGCCAAAGTCTAGACCGTACCGGGGGCCATACTGTTTCCAGTGTGAACATCAGTCACAGCCCAGTGAGTGTGAACAACTCACCATATGTGATGTCGACCAGGTATATTGTACATTTTCTATATGCAAAAACATGAGATATTGACTGTCGTTTACATACAGTTGAATAGTTTTGAATGCGATACCTGTGTGTTTGCATGATGTCTCAGATCATGGGATACACTAACACGCTGGTAAACCTGAATGTTACCAGGCCCAATAAACCATCCAATATAATGTCTGTCATTTATATAGGTAACCCCACGATATAATGTCTGTCATTTAAATAAGTTACCCCACGATATAATGTCTGTCATTTATATAGGTAACCCCACGATATAGTGTCTGTCATTTATATAGGTAATCCCCGATATAATGTCTGTCATTTAAATAGGTAACCCCACGATATAATGTCTGTCATTTATATAGGTAACCCTACGATATAATGTCTGTCATTTATATAGGTAACCCCACGATATAATGTCTGTCATTTATATAGGTAACCCACGATATCATATCTGTCATTTAAATAGGTAACCCCACGATATAATGTCTGTCATTTAAATAGGTAACCCCACGATATAATGTCTGTCATTTACATAGGTAACCCCACGATATAATGTCTGTCATTCATATAGGTAATCCACGATATAATGTCTGTCATTTATATAGGTAACCCCACGATATAATGTATAATGTCTGTCATTTATATAGGTAACCCACGATATAATGTCTGTCATTCATATAGGTAACCCCACGATATAATGTCTGTCATGTATATCAGTAATCCCCTATATAATGTCTGTCATTTATATAGGTAACCCACGATATAATGTCTGTCATTTATAAAGGTAAACCCCGGTATAATGTCTGTCACTTAAATAGGTAACCCCACGATATAATGTCTGTCATTTATATAGGTAACCCCACGATATAATGTCTGTCATTTAAATAGGTAACCCCACGATATAATGTCTGTCATTCATATAGGTAACCCCACGATATAATGTCTGTCATTTATATAGGTAACCCCACGATATAATGTCTGTCATTTATATAGGTAATCCACGATATAATGTCTGTCATTTATATAGGTAACCCATGATATATTATCTGTCATTTAAATAGGTAACCCCACGATATAATGTCTGTCATTTAAATAGGTAAACCCACGATATAATGTCTGTCATTCATATAGGTAACCCCACGATATAATGTCTGTCATTTATATAGGTACCCCACGATATAATGTCTGTCATTTATATAGGTTACCCCACGATATAATGTCTGTCATTTAAATAGGTAACCCCACGATATAATGTCTGTCATTTATATAGGTAACCCCACGATATAATGTCTGTCATTTATATAGGTAACCCCACGATATAATGTCTGTCATTTATATAGGTAACCCCACGATATAATGTCTGTCATTCATATAGGTAATCCACGATATAATGTCTGTCATTCATATAGGTAACCCCACGATATAATGTCTGTCATTTATATAGGTACCCCACGATATAGTGTCTGTCATTTATATAGGTAACCCCACGATATAATGTCTGTCATTTATATAGGTAACCCCACGATATAATGTCTGTCATTTAAATAGGTTACCCCACGATATAATGTCTGTCATTTATATAGGTAATCCACGATATAATGTCTGTCATTTACATAGGTAACCCCACGATATAATGTCTGTCATTTATATAGGTAACCCCACGATATAATGTCTGTCATTTAAATAGGTTACCCCACGATATAATGTCTGTCATTCATTTATATAATGTCTGTCATTTATATAGGTAACCCCACGATATAATGTCTGTCATTTATATAGGTAATCCACGATATAATGTCTGTCATTTATATAGGTAACCCCACGATATAATGTCTGTCATTTATATAGGTAACCCCACGATATAATGTCTGTCATTTAAATAGTAAATCCCCGATATAATGTCTGTCATTTATATAGGTAACCCCACGATATAATGTCTGTCATTTATATTGGTAACCCCCGATATAATGTCTGTCATTTATATTGGTAAACCCCGATATAATGTCTGTCATTTATATTGGTAAACCCAGATATAATGTCTGTCATTTATATTGGTAAACCCAGATATAATGTCTGTCATTTATATAGGTAACCCCGCGATATAATGTGTGTCATTTATATAGGTAATCCACGATATAATGTCTGTCATTTATATAGGTAACCCCACGATATAATGTCTGTCATTTAAATAAGTTACCCCACGATATAATATCTGTCATTTATATAGGTAACCCCACGATATAATGTCTGCCATTTATATTGGTAAACCCCGATATAATGTCTGTCATTTATATTGGTAAACCCAGATATAATGTCTGTCATTTATATAGGTAACCCCGCGATATAATGTGTGTCATTTATATAGGTAATCCACGATATAATGTCTGTCATTCATATAGGTAACCCCGCGATATGATGTGTGTCATTTATATAGGTAACCCCCGATATAATGTGTGTCATTTATATAGGTAACCCCCGATATAATGTCTGTCATTTATATAGGTAACCCCACGATATAGTGTCTGTCATTTATATAGGTAATCCCCGATATAATGTCTGTCATTTATATAGGTACCCCACGATATAGTGTCTGTCATTTATATAGGTAATCCCCGATATAATGTCTGTCATTTATATAGGTAATCCACGATATAATGTCTGTCATTTATATAGGTAACCCCACGATATAATGTCTGTCATTTATATAGGTAACCCCACGATATAATGTCTATCATTTATATAGGTAACCCCACGATATAATGTCTGTCATTTATATAGGTAACCCCACGATATAATGTCTGTCATTTATATAGGTAACCCCACGATATAATGTCTGTCATTTATATAGGTAACCCCACGATATAATGTCTGTCATTTATATTGGTAAACCCCGATATAATGTCTGTCATTTATATAGGTACCCCACGATATAATGTCTGTCATTTATATAGGTAAACCCCGATATAATGTCTGTCATTTATATAGGTAACCCCACGATATGATGTTTATCATTTATATAGGTAACCCCACGATATAATGTGTGTCATTTATATAGGTAACCCCCGATATAATATCTGTCATTTATATCAATAATACCCGATGTAATGTCTGTCATTTATATAGGTAGCCCACGATCTAATGTCTGTCATTCATATATAGGTAGCCCCTGGTATAATGTTTGGCTTTTTTTAGGTAAATTCTCAATATATTGGCTATCATTTTATATGCTAACCCCAAAGTAATGTCTGTCGTTCATGCAGGCAAACTTCCGATATGATGTGTCTATCATGAATAGTGTAAACTCCCGATGTGATAACTGCCATTTAAGATAGGTTAAACTTGGTATAATATCCGCCATTTCGATAGGTAACCAAGTCGAGTTTGGTGGTAAGATTTTTCAACATTCCATTGACATACCTTCAGTAACTAACTGTGCCCTCTGTTGGCTGACATGTTTTTGTTTTCAAATGAAATTGAGTTTATCGAAGAGCTTATCAAAACAGGTCACAAAAACCTTGTAAATTCGTTTAATTTCACCTTAAGTTATATTAATAACGTCTTGCTTTAAATAACATGAAATTTATTGACTACGTCCATCGTATGTACAGGCCTGAATCGGAAATTTAAGGCACTACATCAGCCGCTTATCTTTATCTTTTCCTACAACAAAACTTGCAGATTGATAAATTGAAAAATTGGCAAGTATAACGCTCTTTATAGTGATGTCATTGAGAAATATCCTATTTCATTGTGCAATATCAATCTAAACATGTCTGATGCTCGTTGGTTTGCTGGTTGTTGGCGTATACATTGTTCTCATATGAGAACGTGGCGTGACTTTCTCTTAATCGGATTGATCAAAATTGGCATGGCGCATGTCGTCGATGAAACAGAAAACGCTTACTCTTCTGGAACACCTATTCTTTTTCTCCTTTCCTTTTTCAGGAGTCTCCATAATCTTTTTGTTTGTTGCCCTAGTTTTATTGAATTTTGAGTTTGGATTATGAGTATTTTGATTTTCTTGTTGTATTATGGGTAAACCTCGATATGTGTCTGGCATTGTTTAAAGTTATTAAAAATCAAATTGTGCAATACTGATGGATGTTCAATATTAGCCCGAGTATCATCTGGCTCCAACACCAGAAGTAAGACTTTTCGACTGAGAGACATCTTTTGTGAACCATACACCTGTCCATCAAAATGTACTCCGCGTTGTCGGAACCTAATGATGTTCGGGCTATCAATGTGTCAGCCGTCGTTCACACATTCACGTAAAGTACAATACACAATCGATACATCATTTATATTTTTTATTTCACTCACGCTCTCATTTCTTCGTTTTAAATGTATATTAAGCCATGTAAACATTGATAACAAATAATACAACTTACGATAAATGTTTTATTGAAATGAGTCTGAGAAATGAGAGCAAAATTTGTGAACGTTCCGATCTGTCATCATCAAATGCAAATATGAATTAATGGACGAACTGCATTATTTTCTGTTTATTTATCTTGATATGTCAGATACGCTTAATGACATTGTTGTTATTATCAAAGGGAAAGATTGATAAATGTTGATCATATGATATCGCAGTTTTGTTTGTCGATGCAGCCTGACGTGAATATAATTAAACTATCATCGCCATTGTGTTGATAGTAAATGATAAATTGCCATAAGTGTCAAATCATGAATACCAGTCGCTTTATAGTGATGTATTACAATAACTGTAGTTTTACAGTAATGTAATACAATATACGGTATATCATATTAACTCATTATTTTTGACAATATCTAAAAAAATTATTATAACGTTATTATCAAAATGACAAAACTTTTAACAAAAAGCATTTTTTAAAGCTTATTATGTTCTTTAGAAAGTTAATTGTGAAATCAGATTTATTTTCTCCATGTATTTCGTTCATGGAACTTGAAACATAAAAACACTTGATGTGAATTTTGCCCTAGGTTTGTGGTGTACAAGAGCACATCGATGGGTTCGGTATACAATTCACCAGTGGCTGTCGAGGGAAGTTGGTAGGTAAAAACAAAACAACATTTCCGTTTGTAGATATAACAAACAAAGCGAAGGTACTCAGAGCCAAAGATAACATTTTTCCATAGTTTGTAAATGAGAACAGGGTCGACGCCAATGAATCAAAGAAAGATTAAACAACGGATATTACTCACAGAAATCTAACACTTAGATTGGCGTTTAAATTTTTATCCGGAACATTCCATAACATATTTCATTATTTCTAGAGTAAAACACGATGGTTATTTGAAACTAAATCAGCTTTGACTTCTGAAGAGAGTAATGTGGCCTACGATTGTGCAGTTTTCAAAGGAACATTAAAAAAAACTACCGTATGTCGGTTCTTTTGATAATAGTAAATTTACGATAAGAAATGGATTCCGTTCATGATAGTAAGAATCTTTTGAATAACCATGCTATCAACATTTTCGGACTCGTTTTAAACAGGCGTTTATTTACTTGTTATAGGAATGTCAGACTCACACACATATTCTGGTGGGGAGGGACGTCTCTTCCGTTAATGGGTGTAACATTTGCTGTGATGGCGATTTCTGCAATTACGAATGTTCCTCTTCCAGTTCAAATGGACCTACATTAGCAACTGGTAAACATTATCATTGGAAAAATAATACGTATTCTCTGAAAACACTCTGTGTTCAATTTCCACACGCTTTGTACTATCATTTTCATTTACAAACACATTGCATGCTATTCACATACGTAATATGATGTGCTCATTTACATACAATGGTACAGATATGATTTACATATGCATTGGGCCTTACTTGCAAACATTGTTTTAACATACACGTACTTCGTATTCATGTTTCATATTCATAGTGTACACGTACCTCATTTACATACACTGTTTACTTTCATTTAGGGTCCAGTTTAAATATCATTTGCAGAGAGGTTAGCTTCATCTAAAATGTTGCTCATTTACACACACAGTTTACCTCATCCGCTTCCGTGCCTCATTAACATAAACCTGGCGGCCCACATGTTTACACGTGTCTACCCCGTGTACCCCATTATGCTGGGTTTCCGTTCGCAGATTCAAATTTCCACGAGTAATTACTATGCAATACAATAAAATCGTGATAAAAATATACTGGGACTGACTTTTTAACAGCAGTAAAATCAGCTGGAGTATCTATATATAGTCTGGTGTTTGTCAACAAAAGAAAGACGATACACTGATATAAGAAGTATAATGCCGGCTGTATCGTCTTGCTTGCAACCGGTAGAGTTTTCTCAAGTTGAGCGATACACTGTAGCAGGTATTTAGCAGGGTTACTGTGAGAACAAATAACCCCAGTAACCCGACAGGTATTTAGCAAGGTTACTGTTAGAACAAATAAACCCAGTAACCCGACAGGTATTTACCAGGGTTACTGTTAGAACAAATAAACCCAGTAACTCGGTAGGTATTTAGCAGGTTCACTGTTAGAACAAATAACCCCAGTAACCCGGCAGGTATTTAGCAGGGTTACTGTTAGAACAAATAACCCCAGTAACCCGGCAGGTATTTAGCAGGGTTACTGTTAGAACAAATATCCCCAGTAACCCGACAGGTATTTAGCAGGGTCACTGTTAGAACAAATAACCCCAGTAACTCGGCAGGTATTTAGCAGGGTTACTGTTAGAACAAATAACCCCAGTAACCCGACAGGTATTAGCAGGGTTACTATTCTAACAAATAACCCCAGTAACCCGGCAGGTATTTAGCAGGGTTACTGTTATAACAAATAACTCCCGTAACCCAGCAGATATTTCCAGGGTTACTGTGAGAACAAATAACCCAGTAACCCAGCAGGTATTTACTAGGGTTACTGTTATAACAAATAACTCCCGTAACCCAGCAGATATTTCCAGGGTTACTGTGAGAACAAATAATCCCAGTAACCCTACAGGTATTTAGCAGGGTTACTGTGAGAACAAATAACCCAGTAACCCGGCAGGTATTTAGCAGGGTCACTGTTATAACAAATAATTCCAGTAACCCGGCAGGTATTTAGCAGGGTTACTGTGAGAACAAATAACCCAGTAACCCGGCAGGTATTTAGCAGAATCACTGTTATAACAAATAATCCCAGTAACCCGGCAGGTATTTAGCAGGGTCACTGTTAGAACAAATAACCCAAGTAACCCGGCAGGTATTTAGCAGGGTTACTGTGAGAACAAATAATCCCAGTAACCCTACAGGTATTTAGCAGTGTTACTGTTATAACAAATAACCCCAGTAATCCTACAGGTATTTAGCAGGGTTACTGTTATAACAAATAACCCCAGTAACCCTACAGGTATTTAGCAGTGTTACTGCTATAACAAATAACCCTGCTAAATACCTACCGATAAATATCGCTAGACTTGAGAAAACTAAGACAACACAAGTACAGCGGGGTCAGAGGTCATACCATAATAGCAAACAATGACCTCTATTATACCATGTATCGTCTTACTTAATTTCGAAACTACGAATTCTTTGTTTTATTAGTCAAATGTTTAAATAAATGTACATTATTAGCTGAAATGATAATTTTTATCTCTATATCTATTCATTTTGGTTGTACCTGAATTTAAGGCAAACGGAGATTTGTTGTTTCAGATCACAGCTTATGATATACTTAGAATATCAGATTAGTAAACTTTCCAGCGGGGAGTAGATTCATCATAACACTGAACTACTTCGTTGTTTTATTGCCTTCAGTCGTGCTGAAATCAGAAAGAACCTAACATTAACGTATTTCTACGATATAGCCAACAACTTGAACACCTCGCAATACATAGCCACACCCACAATTGTTGTACCTGGGTCGAAGTTTGGACCCTGGGGGTCATGGACACCCTGTCCTGATAACTGTGGGCGTGGGGCACAGGAGCGTTATCGGAAGTGTTACGATCACAATAACGTTTTGCTGAGTGATGCGTCCTGTTCCGGACCGGGAGTGGACACCCGGACATGCTTTAATGACCACTGTCAAGGTATATATCACGTGCTTAATACAAAGGCAGAATGTCAACACAGCGGAGTAGATTATCACTCTTGTCTATATCAGACAAATATATAGGTGTTCCTGTGTTACAATAACCGAACGTACATACAATTGTCTTTTATATGTAACGTATGTATAACATCTATGACAAGGCGTTTTTCTCATTGCTAAAGAAATTGCATCGTCACATTAACATTATGATGACGTCGTGTGACTTAAAACGCATATTCAATATGACTGATATAAAAATTGTATATAGGTAAAAAGATAAACAATATACTTACACTTAGATACTATTTTGTAAGACTTTAAAAGCCGCAAATTTAAAGCACTGCTCCACATGCCAGTTATAATAGCTGATCACTGAAATGATAAAGATCACCGCAATTCGACCAAATCATCGGTGACGTAAACGAATATTTTGCAGACATGCGCAATGCATTCTTTTTTTTTTGTACTTTTTCTTCACGTGCGATTTTTCTTAATCAAAGGCATTTTAATGTACGAATGTAGTCGCCCTGATCTGTAGTTGTTTAAATAAGTAATACTAGATGACGTACCGTCACTGGTAAGGGACACAACTCAGTTGGTAAATACCATTTTTCATTTCAGTATTATTTACAATTGCTGTGTTTTTCCCCTAATTATACTCCAATAAATTCAGTCCAGAACGTGCTAGACGATGACGTAACAATATTGACGTAGGAATACATTTACACACAAGTCAAAGGTCAAACTGCATCACGACTGACTTCCACGTCCGCGTCTTGATGAATGTTGTGTTGCTATAGTAATTATTGAACATGGTTATGTTTTGTTTTAAACAAAAGTTCTGTAGATAAAATTACTACATACAAACCAGTATGACCGATTTCCTTCAGAAAACATTAATAAAATAGTTGAAATCGACGAACTATCTGTTTGGTTTCAAAGGAGAAAAAAGTGGGCGGAATCTAGCTGTCTTGGCAGCTGTTCCCGGAATTCAACGGAATGGAACGTCACTTTCATTTTCGTATTTATTTACTTGGAAATGGCGACAATGAAAGTGTTTTACTGGATTATTTTTGAAAGAAAAAATTGTAAATAAAAAGATTATATTTTATTTTTTCTTTGTTTATGAGGTAATAAATCCAGTACAGCACGCGGTAAATTTACACAGTTTGTCTATAAAGAGTGTCCGACTTGCCTGAGGGTCGGTTATCCTAGGCAGAACAGGCCGTCATACAGGACAGAATCACCTCCGCCCTGAACACAGCTTTGAGAGCATCGGCGGCCTTGCAGGTCTCTTTGTTCTCAAACGTCGTGTTGGCCAGGCGGTTTTCAGTATTGAAAAACCGCCCGGTTGAGGAACCCTACCGCTCCCGGTTGTTGACTGCCCCCTTCTCGGGCTCTTCCCTGTTCGGGGGAGCGCTTCCTTCTGTACAGAAGGACATGAAGGAGGACTCGGTCGCCTCAGCACTTCTGGTGAAGAGGTTTCAGGCTGAGAAGGCCAGTGCCTCGCAGGGGTCAGCGCCTCCTTAGAAGAAGGCGAAGTCTTCGGCTGCTCAGTCTTCTGTGCAGCCCAAAGCCCAAGCCTCACTTCAAAGACAACAAGAGGAAGAGTAGGAAGGGTAAGAACCCTCCTGGGGGCATGAAGAATGGTTCCTGACGCCTTCAGCTCCTTGGCCGTGGCAGACCAAGAGCCGGGTCTGGTGGACGGCTGTCTTTCCGTCTCAAGCTCTTGTCCCTGTCCTGTAGGATTAGGCTCTGGGTGGGCAGACTATTCGCGGGTTTGACAGGGTCTCGATCTGCCCCATCTGGCGCCCAGTCGATTTTCTTTCCTCTTCCTGGGGATGCGGAAAAGGTTCGAGCGCTTTAGGAGGTAGTAGGGGCCATGCTGGCCAAGGGCGTGTTAGAGGAGATTCCTATGTCGGAATGCACTCCCGGCTTCTACTCCAGAATGTTTCTGATTCGGAAGAAGTCCGGGCCGTGGCGTTCGATCATAGATCTCAATGCCTTCAACAGGCACATAGATTCTCCTCACTTCAAGATGGAGACCCCATGAGGCATTATGGCCTCTGTGAGGGACGGAATGTGGGCAACTTCAATAAATCTGAAGGATGCCTACTTCCATATCCTCATCAAGAAGTCGACACGGAGGCTCCTCCGTTTCACGTGCAACGGCAGGGTCTTCCAATTCCGGGCCATGCCCTTCGGGCCCTCGACAGCTCCTTTGGTGTTAACCAAGTTGCTGCAGGTGGTCGTTGGATTCCTTCACTTACGCGGAATAGACGTCCACATCTATTTCGACGACTCCCTCATGCTTCATTTGGTGAGGGAATCGCTAGTGAAGGACACTCGTCTGGTCTTGAAAGTCTTGCTCAGAGTCGGCTTCGTTCCTTCCAGAGAGAAGTCAGAGGTTTCCCCATCTCAGGACTTCGTCTTCCTGGGGAACAGTTTCGAAACGGTTCGGGGCTTAGCCCTTCCGACTCCGGAGAAGTTCGCTTGGTCGCATGTCCGCGTACGTTGGTTCCTCAGTTTTCTGGGGTATCTCAACTCACTGGCAAATGTGGCCCCTCTAGGGATACTTCACATCAGACTTCTCCAGATGTTCCTCCTGTGCAACTGGGTTCCGTCATCCAGGAAGTGGGAGGCCTGGATTCCTCTTACCCAGTCGGTCAGTGAGTTCGCTCGCTGAAGGACCATTCAGGGGAACGTTCTCGGCGGGGTGCCTCTGACCAAGCCTGTCCCCTCTATGACCCTGTTCACGGATGCGTCCATGACAGGATGGGGAGCTTACCTCGACGGCCAATGCCGCTCGGGGAGTGGTCTGACGAACAGCTCTCGGAACACATCAATGTGCTCGAGATGAGGGCTGTTATTTTGGCTCTGCAGTCATTTCGGGGTATCCTGCAGTCCGGTGTTGACGGAATGGCAGCTGTGTCCCTTGATTTTCTAGGGAATTGGTCAGGTGTGGGTATTACCTCATGAAAATTGGTTTTACATGAAAAAGCCTCAGGATTCGACAGTGCCAAGTTGTGAGTTTCATGCATGTGGACAGTGCATCACCTGTTTCGCTTGCATAGAGAAGGAGCACATGCATGATCTATATATATATATATCTCAACTTGTTTATAATTGTTTTATTGTAATTACATCCTGCTGCCACCTTGTAAATATAATGTGTGTGTATTGATATGTATAGAAAAGGATTTATGTAAGTTGTAAAACTTGTGGCCAATCTTTTTGCTACTTATGTTCAATAAAATGTGTTAAAAATAATTTTTAAAAATAAATTCTGTGTATACGTCTTCATTATTCAGACTGCAATGCCTTGTACAACATCGGCTACAACGTCTCTGGTAACTACACTATATACCCAGACCCTTCCACCGGATATGACGTATACTGTGAAATGCAGCGTGGGAACGGTGGATGGATTGTTCTGCAACACAGGTTTGATGGGTCGGAGATGTTCAACAGATCATTTGCGGAATACGAACAAGGATTCGGTGACCTGAACGGGGAGTTTTGGATGGGACTTGACAAAATGTCCAAACTTACAAACCCCGGACGCAAAGTACGATTTCTTCTACAGACATATGATGGTGCATGGATGACACTAGACTATGGGAATTTCTCAATTGCCAATGCCAGCAAGCAATACACCCTGAATGTTTCTCAACATATCTCCGGATTTTCTCCGGGAACATTCTCATACAATTCCGGGAGGAAATTTTACACATTTGACCGCGATAATGATGCCCACTGTGCTGTTCGTAGATTCTCGGGTTGGTGGTTTGGATCATGTACATATCTAAACATTAATGGTGAATACGGACTCCGGGACGACGAATCCGGAATCACTGAACACTCGACCACCGGTAACAATTTCAACAATTTTCAGAAAACGCTGATGATGATACAATGATTTCTGTGCGATTCCCTCAGGGCAGAGATATCCGAAAGGCAACATGTTTGTTATTGCATGTATGTGCATCAGTTTTATTTTCTTTAAGTAAATATTTCTTTAAAGTCCATCTTTACTGTAATTCATTGTCGTTACTTTATTCTATGTCTGTTTTTCTGTCATACATTTCCCTATGCTTTGGATTGAAGCTAAAACATCCCCTCTCAATTTAACGCTATAAGCCTTTGTACACTATGGTAGATAATAGTGTGACGAGATGACGAAAACTATGGAAATGTGTATACGGGATGGAAACAGTGTATTGTGGTCGATTCGCCACGGATTTTGCTTAACAATTGATCATAGATGTGCGTGAGTCTGCAGAAAGTCTGAGAATGCTGTTGAACTATTTTGGAATTTTCCAAGTTAATGATATGATTTTTGCTGCGTGGAATATTGTGTAAGTGCCGATTTATTGATCTGGACCGAGAATGTTTTCGCTCTGATCTCGTGAATCGTTTGTCTTCTAGGGTTTGCGCGTCTTTTTATGTTCATTTAGTCGGACCTCGGATCTCCTGTCTGTTTCTCCATTATATAACACGTCACAGTTCTTGCATTGTATATTCTTTTCATTTTTTTTACGGTCATTTTGGGTGTTTTATTCTATTGGTGGATTAGGGTACTTTGAAGAGTCTTATGAGGTCTCATGGCTGATGAAATACCATGATCACGGTAAATCTTCTGAATGATTTCTCACTATATGGGATGACAACGTTTCCTTTCATATTTTGGTTTTACCTTGGTGTATGTCTCATGGTATCTTGGGAGACCATTATGCCGGTCAAAACGAGATGTGGCGAGTGTTTGCAATTTAATAGTCTTTCACCGAAGTTTTTTTTCTGTTATTCTCTTATCTCACGAACATGGGGCTGAATATGTGTTTCTCTTTTACACTGCAAGCTTCGAGACATGGAATTCTCACACTAGTGAAAGCGTTGATGCATCGGTACAGGGTTCGAGAATAGTTCCTGAATTGTGGCAATTTTTTTTCTGTTTTGAAGTATCTACTATACATGGTGTTTTGTCTTTTGCAGCATTGTGTTTAAATACAAAAAATAGCCAACAAGTTAATATCACATTAGTCATCAAACTTCAGAAAGATAAGGTTAAAATGTTGTTGTTTTGTGTGGGGTTAGATGTCACGACGCATTCACCAACCCAACTTTACCACTGTAGGAGCAATTACGTCAATAAATCGATTTTAAGTTACAAAAGGCCCACAGGGCCCGTACGGCTCATCTTGGTCCTATAGGTTGAGTATTTCAAATATTTCCATATTACAGCTTCGGACCAAGCGATCTAAAAATAATACTTAATTGGACACAGGCTTTTTTGAAGTAGAAAAACCTCGTAACTTAAAAAAACAAACAACGGTTAAATTCCAAAGATGGCACAAACTTGTTAAAATCCCCGATTCGACTCGAACAAGAAGATAACTCGTACCAGCGAGTTTGAATACGACCAGGGGCAGTCAAGTTGCCAGAGTTTTCGAAATATAACCATGGCTGATGATGTTGGTTCACCGATTCGTGGGGAAAGAATATTCTAATTTCAGTCGACTTAGTATCGAGAAACATAAGAGGTTAATGGACAAAAGAAAGTCGAATTGTCATTATATAAGGTGTGAGGCGGTAATTGAATCGGCTCAGTCGACAGAAAGGCTCTGCTCAATCTAAAAGGCGGCTCGTAAGGAGTCAATACTCCAAGTTACTCGTGCTGACGTCCAAATATTAAACCTTGAACTCATTTATCAAATTGATAGATCTACATCCTTTCTACAAAGATAATTAAAGTTCTGTTTACTGAGTACGTGGTACATGCGGCTGTCGGGTGGGCAATTCAACGGTTACACATGTACCCTTAAGCTAAATATCTCCGTCCCTAAATGTTCACTATTTCCGATCATAAGGCTTTGTATTCTCTGTTTTATAGCAGTTTCATACTATCACTTAAAAGGCCGTGAACTGTGAATTGTAAACAACCGGTCACGGTAATCACACTTCAGTCGACTCAAATTTAGACTGCCCATTCACGCGTGACGCCGTACACGCAGGTAGTTTTCTTACTCCGATGTGTACTTGAGGAATACCTGTCATCAACAGGATTTACGGAGCTCGAGAGAAAGCAACACGCAAATCGGTAGGTGCTTTGTTTCGTATATTTCAAATGCACATTTATCCACAATTTAAAATGCACTGTTTTGAAAGTTTACACGTTAGCTTGTAAACCAGTTTCGACCTTTAAACGGGAGCTTTCGCAAAGAAAGATACTCGCTGTGTTAAGCCTTGATCGGACGCAAACGTAACGTACTGTTTGTACAAGGTATGTATATGCTGGGTGTGCGGTTCTAGTGTAAACAGGTCATCATAGCGATGCACAAAGAATTGGGGGTTAGTAATTTACAAAAAATTGGAATGTGTCATGTATAAACATAGTGGTTTGTTAAATATTTCTTCATAATTATACGTTGAGAAATATGCGCAAGGGGCCGTTGTCTTAAATAATCACGTGATAACTGTTATACCTTTGTCAAATTCTTGTGTATTTAAGTGTCGAATTCATGGGGTGATGGAGCGGGTTGTTTTATAGACAAATGAACTGGAAAATCCAGATGCGATGTTTATATTTCAGTTGAGACGAATCGTTTTCAATATTTTGAACAAATCTGTATCTGCAGTTACTAGAACGTGAACTTTAAAAAATTATAGTACGTCATTTTAAATTAGAGCATGCTCAATCAGTATTACTCATGCAAAGCATTATTATGTGACACATCGAAAAATAACAAGCAATTTAATAAGATTGTATTAATTAATCTGTTATTGTTTGTTTCCATTTGATATGTGATTTATAAAACTAGTCACATTTCTTTCTTCATTTTCACCGATTAAAATGATAAAAAAATCTAAGACTACTCTACATATGTACACACACAATGTGACGTTTCCGAAGCCGGCAAAGTAAATAACCTTAGTCACTTCAGTACACCACAGTAAACTGTTCAATTATTGACTTAATGCTATGTTTGTTATTGCCGTGTTCTTTCATTTGGATCGTGATCCTTTAGATTGCAGATCCTGTAGACCGAGAGAGAAGTTCTCTCTAGCAGAGCGGTGCATTACGGCTGGCATTTACAAAGGCTACACATTGATGTACTCATGCACGCATACAATATACACGGATAGCACGATGTCGTCAATGAGAGGTCAAGTGTGACGTTGACTCATGGGTTTCGTTTTCACAATAAAATTCTAAATATGATGTTTTTAAAAAAACAACGGGAACACCAGATATATGTACGATAATAAATCACACAGGATAAAGGACATTTTTGTTGAATAAGCTCTTGATGGCAACCGTATATTTTTATAATTATCTTCACGCAAAATCCTTCGTGTTTTTTTTTAAAGTTATCCGGTTTTTAACGGTATCGCGATGACGCCTGAACGAAGATATCATGCTTGTCATTCTGTTTCATGGGTTTGATTAATTCTTTGCTAAATCTACAAAAACATTTTCAACCATGTGACCATGACTTGTCCTGTCGTTGCCTACGGTAGTTGTAGCAAATCCTGATATATATTATATTTTGATTTCCAAAAGCAGAGAGAGTCAGATATAAGCTTTAATATGTTTATTTATTTATTTTAACAATATACACAATAGAAAAAAACAAATATCAATATTCAAACCGGGGTTATAGATATATATATATATATCTTCTTTCGAAAATAACATATCTTGTTTAGAGAAGTATAATGTCAGCTCGACAGGTTGGGCATTGTCTCCTAAAGCTAGACATACCATTATCAGTAAGCCTCCAGATGACCTAATTCACAAACATTACCTATAATTTATCGCTGATTCGTTTGAAGAATCAGATCTGCGTTGGTTGATCATAATTCGTTGCTTTATTCGTATTTTGCACTTTTGGTCCGACCTGTCTCTTGTCTTTAGAAGCAATTTATGAAATATGTTAAAATCATTTTGTCTGAAATTGTCTAGATAGACACAATGCTTGCAAGTAGTTAAAAGAGTGACCTAATTTTATTGTATTCTTTACGACCGGTTACACAAGTATACTTCATCTCAAAACGACATAACTTTGTGTGAACGCAATTCATGCTTGTAAACTTGATCCTAAATAAAACGGCCTGCACGTTTTGAACCAAGATAAAGATACTTGCAGCGAAGTGAAAGAACTCTTTGTTGAGATATCCCTTTACGACTTTTGTTCACTGACTGTGTGAATCATTGTGCTTAATATGTATATTTCTTAAAAGATGAGACAACGAGGCACTCCGTATTGCATGTCGACTTTTCAATAAAACCACATTAAGTTATAATTTATGTAGGTCAAATTTTGTCAGTATCTGCCGCAACTTACACTGTAGCGGGTCATTCAGAAAAGAATAACAAGAAACGATGTTTGTACTTCTTATTTTCAATTATCATTTTTTTGAGGAGGGCATTCTAAAGGGCCGGTTTCCAAAACGGCCCCCTTCTCTGATTCAAATTTCCTGTTGGTGGTGCATTGCCCATGCCGTTGTGGTCACAAATCTATAAAGTATAAAGATTTAGGTCACTTGGTTTGTTTTTTATGGCTCCTCAAAGTTGTACCTTTCAGAAGCTGTCTAAGTGTTGATAAAATGTGCATGTTATGTAAAATATTAATGAAAATCTAATCAAATGATAGTCACCGTAAAGAATACATTCATGGCATGATTGTGACAAAAAATCATGTTTCCATCGCGCCATTTGGCTGTTTTATGGAAGAAACAATCTCAAAAAATGCCATTTTCGATGATAACATTTTAGACGCAAAAACTGTGTTTTTTAGAGAATACACCCTTTTATGGGCGTTGGATGCAAACCAATTTTTATCCTATTAAATAGTACGTAATATGCTATTGATGAGAGGAAAAATCATCAAAATGTAAGTGGTGGAACATTTTCAAATGTTGGGTTGAATTAGCCTATGGTTGAATTGCCGATTTTCGACTTTCTTTAGATAATTAACAAAAAAACGAGAGTATTTGCTCGGTATGTTGAGAATATGTACACAGATATGAAAAAAAAGTGAGAGAAACACTTTTTCATAAAAAAAATCCAAGATGGCTACTTCGTAAGTCCCCGTGGTTGAAGACATTGGCTGACAAATAGACAGAACAACAAACAAAACGTGTTCCTTATGATTTTGGTTGGTTTTCGCATTTACGGGAGTGTTCATAGCTACGGGCGATTGTATAATACCTATATCTATAAGTTTGGTTAGTCACATGGTAACGGGGATCTTTCATATCGAGCGCCAAACATACTTTCGACATATGCACTCTGTTGCCACTTGGAAAACTATTTCAAGTTTTGTCGGAATTTCTTTACCTGTGGTTGTAATGGTCGAGGGTTCTCCAGCGTCCTGTAATACCCAAGGTAGTACAAGATACTGGAGATGTGCGCACACATTCCCATCGTTCTCTCTCCAACTGGGCACTGGCAGTAGTAGTCCTTTATTGGGGCCTCAACATCGGGTGAAACGGTGAACCGTATCCAAACGTTATATTTCGTTTGGCTTTTGTGTCGAGAATGTATTTGACATCGGAGAAGGTCTGGGGAGTGCTGGTAAAGCCACACCTCATAGTCGCCGTCATCACTTAAATGTTCGGCGATGTAACCAGGAGCCAGAGATATCTGATACGTTCCACACGTAATGGTTCTCAAGTAATCAAGATCGAGACGGGGAAATAGTACTTTATTTATTTAATTTTTTTTACATCATAAAACTGTCATGAAAATATCCGCTCTGATATTCAATATAAAAGTTTGTATATAATAAGCTATATAATAGGGTTTCAGACAAGGTTGTTACTCATTTCCCCTTTTCTTTCAATTTACAACCACATTCAGGCGGCGATATGAGAACGTTCCACCACATGGAATTAGCTGATTTTTGGTACACATATGAAACAAGTAAAGCTCTATCCGATTTTTTGATGGAAATTTGCATCCAAAACTATATAACGGGAGAAAATTGCAAATTTTTGGCATTTTTCTTCATAATTGTGTCTCTGCAAGTGCATTTTCATCCGTGAATATATTTTTTTTATGTTTTATGAATAAACACGATGTTTTGGAAATATTTATCAAAAGAAATTTATAATATGTTACGAATTACAATTTCGAGATAACCTTCTTTTATTTACGAACTTATGTCTTTGATGCTGAAATTGACAACTTTATAAAAATACATTTTCACTGAAATTATGAAATCTGGGTGTCGGAAAGGTGTAAAATTATTTTTCGGAAAAGAAAAAAACAGTAGTTGAGCTAGATAAGAAATTATACGGGGGCAGGCTCCTATGGAGAATTAACATTACTGGAAACAGGCCCTTTGGTAACATTTTAAAAAATATTCGTAAGCCGATGGCAGTTCATGGGCTGGTAATACACAACTGACTTTTGTAAGGTTTACATGCATATTATGTCAATGCCATACGACGGCAATAATTTTAAATGTTCCCGGAGGACTGAGGAGGAGCATATATAAAACACACTTCAAAAAAACCTAGATACTGGACATATTTATATAATATGTTTGTATATAAATTCAACTCATGAGAATGTTTTCTTGGAAATAACAGTGTAAATTGATAACTCCTTGAAAATACTTAGCTTTATATAAGAAACGCACAAAAAACAGGGTCTTATATACTGAAATATTAGAATTGTGCAATTAAGAAAAGTTCACATACAAAACGCAGTATTGGAAAAAATTTGCACTAGAATTTTTCTATATTTCAATTATCAGTATGCATGATTAGCAGACTATAAAATATTTAGGAAAAAAGGTTGTCAAACGAAAAATGCAAAGGTCGACTTTAAAATCAGCCTTTCTGAATTTCGAAATATTTGTCTTCAAAAGAATGCCGATAACTATACGGGATAGAGTATAATGTCGAAAAAAAGGTAATGTTGATATCTACCCAGAATATATACTTTTTAATATATGTCGAAAAACCAGTATGTTTGTTGGTAATCGCTTGGTTTTTTTCCTGGTTTATTTCAATGCGACAGTTGACTTCTTCGCTGAACAGCATGCGTGAGGTCGTCGCAAGCACTCTAGAACATTTAGGGTAAACGATACAATCACGACTACTCAGGTCGATGATACACGATACACAACCCGCTCCGGGTAGGGATCGAACCATGCACCTCAGGTTTTCGCCAGTCAATCGTAGCCCTCACCTAAAATAATCCTATGCTATATGCGTTTGAAATACCTCCTTGTGATATGACGACCAATCTAAGAACTTGACCTACCGCAACTGCAATTCATTAACCCCGAAACGCATTGTTGAACGCTTTCTCGAAAAGTTGGAGAAAATAAAGCCCACCGTTAATTTGTTAATTTGTACGGTTATGGTGGGATTGTCGATGTAGACGTGACGTAGAGGTATGTCAGTCCGGTAGACTTCCTTCAAAAAAAAAAAAAAAAAAAATTAAACAGAAGACCCAAAACTCTAAAGGGTCACCTGAGGTCTAGAGAAATCCTCTCGTTGTTCTTATAACATATGTGATATGCTTTACATAACATAAAAATACATTTGTTGACAAAATAAATAACTTGTGTAACTTAAATTACTTCGTACACTTGATGTCGATATGGAAATTATTTTCCCCATTATTGAAGTAAACGATCATGCAGTTGGATTCTTGGCTATCCCCTTAAGAGACGATATCAGCGAAGTACTCCCGACCTGCGGGAGGGGGTGTCCCATATTTAGTCACCCCTTAAAACATGTATTGGGATACAACACGGATATAATCCCCGCCATCTGCAGGATTCTCACGTTTTATAAATGCATTAACTTGAAGCTATATATCACTTCAAACATTTGAGAAGTGTAAATTACATTCTGATTAAATTTGCAACTTTAATTCGAAGTATCTAATCCCTACACATTTAACAGGAAGCCCCGTCATGGCAGCCGACGGAGTTGAGTTAAGGACCGTGAAGCCCCTGTACCACAAAGGAGACAACGATTCTGCTTATGAGAGTAACGGGGGCAGGGACAACATAGCCTTAGATCTGGGAGATGAGGCCATTGCAGAACAAAAGGTAGGTGAAGGAGAAAATAGAAACACATTCTAGTAAAAACTCGTTCGGAACAGGTTCCCGTGCCATTTCTTACTGTAAATCTAAACGGAAGCTTCCCAATCCAAATTCCTTCATTTGGAATCGGTTGGACACACCCGTCATAACCAAATTATTCTAAATTTTCACGGAGGTTTGCTGAAAAATCCAGCTCATTTGTAAGATGCGTCTAGTGTCAACGTTAAAGTAGAAAAAAAAGAAAAGCAGAAGATATATAAAGATGGAATACATCAGAATTGTTGTTACTTTACAAACTGGAATGTAAAGTTTGTGTACATGTACGGGAAATAAAAATTGCCGGAATGATATAGACATGATGCTACAGTAGGTGACGATGTTATATGGTACATGGTATTGTAGTGTCCCTTATACAAATGGATATTGGCTGTAAGGTGTTTGTCGTTTCTCTTGTTGTTGCTGCCATTTGCAGTTTATAGACAATGTGAATGCAAATGACGTTAAGGAACAACATCATGAACGGAATGTTGAGATCAGGTTTAGCAATCAGATATTTACATTAGGATTTAAATACAGTCAAACCTGTCTATAAAGGCCACTCAAGGAAGCAGAGAAATGTGTCCTTTATACACAGGTGACCTTTGTATAGAGTACTACAAATTGCATTACAAAGGAAATAAAAAGTAGTTTTTTAGACAGATGACCTTTGCATAAAGATGACCTTTAAGACAAGTTTAACTGAATGTTATACCTACATTTTAAACTTATATTCACATAGACAATTCTAATGTCAAAGTTCAAGAAACAAAAGAACCATGGGATAAACGTTCTAACATTATTAACGTTATTTTGATATTTTTGAACTGTATTTAACATCAATTAACTTGTACTATGATTTACAGATTAAGAACGATACAAATGGTGACAATGTCCCAAAGTTTGAGGTTGAAGAGAACACAGGATTTGTCTACCATCTCCAAACGTCTGTGCGAACCACCTACAGTTCAAACAGTGATACGATATGGGCGTGCATTTACGTTATCCTTTTAGTGTTGTACTTCGTCTATTTTGGATTCGCCATGGCTCATGAAAAATTCGGAGACGAGGGTTCAATCCGGCTTCTTGTCTGCACCATTCTTTTTGTTATTGGACTTTGCTGGAATTTCTGTCGTAAGCGTCTTGGAGGTAAAATCAGGATGCCCGATCTCCCATGGGAACCAGAGCGGAAAGAAAAAGTTCTTAAAATGTATGTATAAGACAGATTGACGATCAGTCATCTTAATGCGATTTAAGAAATGTCTTATAGGCTTACCATCGTTGGCAGCAGGCGATTGGTTATTTACAGCTGTCAGTCACATGTAAACTTTTTTAGATACATATGAATTCTAGAAAATGTTAATCGAATGAACACGGAAGATAACATCTTTCAACAAAAAAGTCTTGTTTTGTCAAAACTGACACTTTTGGTTTTATATTTTAGATAATTTCAACGAAATCTCAGTATAATGGTTTTTTTTTTGTTTCAGTGGTTACATCGCACTTGTCGTCGCTGTTGTTCTCTTCATAGTCATCTACATAATTGCTGAAGTTGCAATCAACTCCACCGAGAATCTCATCAGTTTGACAGGACTTGTCTTCTTTGTGTTCGTCTTCTTTATATGTTCTCGAAATCCAGCACAGGTAAATGTTATCACCTAAGACAAAAGTTAAGCACAGGTAAATGTTATCACTTAAGACAGAAGTTAAGCACAGGTAAATGTTATCACCTAAGGCAGAAGTTAAGCACAGGTAAATGTTATCACCTAAGACAGAAGTTAAGCACAGGTAAATGTTATCACCTAAGACAGAAGTTAAGCACAGGTAAATGTTATCACTTAAGACAGAAGTTAAGCACAGGTAAATGTTATCACCTAAGACAGAAGTTAAGCACAGGTAAATGTTATCACCTAAGACAGAAGTTAAGCACAGGTAAATGTTATCACTTAAGACAGAAGTTAAGCACAGGTAAATGTTATCACCTAAGGCAGAAGTTAAGCACAGATAAATGTTATCACCTAAGACAGAAGTTAAGCACAGGTAAATGTTATCACCTAAGACAGAAGTTAAGCACAGGTAAATGTTATCACTTAAGACAGAAGTTAAGCACAGGTAAATGTTATCACCTAAGGCAGAAGTTAAGCACAGGTAAATGTTATCACCTAAGACAGAAGTTAAGCACAGGTAAATGTTATCACCTAAGACAGAAGTTAAGCACAGATAAATGTTATCACCTAAGACAGAAGTTAAGCACAGGTAAATGTTATCACCTAAGACAGAAGTTAAGCACAGGTAAATGTTATCACCTAAGACAGAAGTTAAGCACAGATAAATGTTATCACTTAAGATAGAAATTTAGCACAGGCAAATGTCATATCACTTAATATAGAAGCTTAGCACAGGTAAATGTCATCTCACTTAAGACAGAAATCTAGCACAGGTAAATGTCATATCACTTCAGATAGAAGTTTAGCACAGGTAAATGTTATATCACTTCAGATAGAAGTTTAGCACAGGTAAATGTTATATCACTTCAGATAGAAGTTTAGCACAGGTAAATGTTATATCACTTCAGATAGCAGTTTAGCACAGGTAAATGTTATCACTTAAGATAGAAATTTAGCACAGGCAAATGTCATATAATTTCAGATAGAAATTTAGCACAGGTAAATGTTATATCACTTCAGATAGAAGTTTAGCACAGGTAAATGTTATATCACTTCAGATAGAAGTTAAGCACAGGTAAATGTTATATCACTACAGATAGAAGTTTAGCACAGGTAAATGTTATATCACTTCAGATAGAAGTTTACCACAGGTAAATGTTATATCACTTAAGATAGAAGTTAAGCAAAGGTAAATGTTATATCACTTCAGATAGAAGTTTAGCACAGGTTCATGCTTTCAGTTAAAAGAATCCGACATAGATACGTAACCGTAATTGTCCTTTCTGAGGGTAAAACTCCTGCACATGTTTATACTTTAAAATATAGAAATCAAGCAGAGAGAATGTTACCACTTATCAAATATAGAACTCCGGGACAGTTTCATACTTTGAAACACAGAAATATTACACAGGTAAAAAAATCACATACGGGTGGATGTTATGATCTATGTAACGTCAGAATATGTGCATGTTCTTTAACCCATTACAGTTTAAAGTTAAAACGACAATATAAACAATTAGGTAAGACAAACCACATGAATTTCCACACGACTAGTTCCAAAGTTCTGAATATCTTTATAATTAGCTATGTGAAGCAGTTTTAAACAATATTCAGTATTGATAAATTCATATTTAAAAATGTTATTTATTTGTGTGTCGTGTATACAATATAGAACACAACTCAGTATTGCTGTAGACCAAGTCTGGTAAATAGAGGAAACATCGAAAATCTAAAGCGGCCTTTACAAAGAGATCGGATGAAGAAATGTGACAAGTTCGTAATAGTGTTTAGTAACATTTGCATACAATATACTCTGTAATTTCAAAAGATATTACTATCTATATTTCTGTATTTTTTTACCAGAATTGTCATGCATACGAATTTTGAAATAGTAAGCAAATAATCGCCAGTATTGCTCATCACTAGGAAATATGGCACAGTTAAGACTATTCATATGCCTTTGACCTTCCTCTTGGAATTATCGGATGGAAATTATGAAACTTATTGAATTATAGGAAATACGCCTCCCCGTTAAAAAATTGTATATTTCATCCTATCAATTTAGGTTCTTCTCACTCGCTACTTTTACTCCCAAATGCATACCCTCGGCATTACTGACGAGTCCTAGAAGGAGGAAACGGCTGTCTAATGCGGTCAACTCATTATCTAGCCCTACTGTATCTAATTTTAGATTTTTATTGAAAGGTGCTATTCACTTCCGTGTCCTTTGCACAATCGTCCGAATTATGACGTTTTCAAGAAAGAGTAACCAAATAAAACAGAAAAACATTGATTATCTTTCAGATTAAATGGCGTCCAGTGTTTTGGGGACTGGTCATTCAGTTTTTCTTTGCTCTCCTGATTCTACGATGGCCATTCGGGTATCAAGCGTTCCTATGGCTGGGTGCTCGCGTGTCCGAGTTCCTCGCCTACTCCGACAAAGGTGCCATCTTCGTGTTTGGGAGTACATACACAGATCATTTTTTCGCTTTTAAGGCAAGTAAATTGGAGGTTCATATAAAAAAAAATTTGATTGTGTTTCTATTGCCAGTCATCTGTTTAGCATGAACTATGAGTGTCGTACAGTTGGTATTGTTCCAGCCACACTTAATATCAACAACCTACATGTTGTTGTATCAAATGCAGTTCTTTATACCAAACATAGATTTCATTCGCATTATACCAAGTGAGATATTTCACCACCTGTTAATGACATAGCCTTATATATATACGTGTTCAATTCTTTTATTAGCAATTGATTGTTATAATTCCTGTTGCTAGAGTGTAATTTAATTCCACTTAATGTAAAGATTATCATATGCATGGTGTGCTGGGGCCGCGGTGGCCTTGTAGTCCCAGTGGGTAAGGCGTCTAACCGTCCTTATCACTTGCCATCCACCTCTGGGTTACGGGTTCGAAGCTTATGTTGGGCAGTCCGAGTTGTACTGGCCACTGGTTGGTGGATTTTCTCCGGCTTTCTCCAACACTCAAACCTGGCACGTCCTTATATGGCTTTGGCATTTAAAAAACCCATAAAATAACAATAAACCAAACCACGTTGTTATATTTGGCATCAATAACGGGGTTTGAAAACCACCAAAAAAAAAGATGATAAGATACACATTTTTACACCCATTGGTGAAAACGCGAAAAAATGAACCATCTAAAAAAATGGTCGTATCATACAAGTATTTAAGAATATTCTATGGGCTCTCGTTATTATCACAGGTGTTGACGGTGATCGTGTTCTTCAGCACGGCGGTGTCTGTGCTCTATTATATTGGAGTGATGCAGTTTATCATTCGGTATCTGGCCCGTTTTATGTCCTGGTCTATGGGAACCTCACCTACCGAGTCCCTTAACGCCGCCGGTAACATCTTCATCGGACAGGTAAGTTACGATGTGGCATCGTCATCTAACAGGAAAAATATCATCGTCATCAAATACATACTTTATCTATGTTGTGAGTGTAATGTTATAACAATGAAACACGCAATATTTATGCAGGTTTTGTGCATCGATTTGATTGGTTCTAGGAGAAAAAAAGACCAATCATAGTCTGACATGTTCGTTTAGAAAATTACTCAGGAGCGACACCAAACTTAAAACCCATTGCGTTACACCGCTATGCAACCTCGAAATTCATTTGGTGTAAATCAATGGCTCAAATTTGTGTTTCGTCTTGTCCACAATGTGTTGCACTCGGAACTTTCAATTTTGCCATTACATACATGTCCAAGGGGTGCAGAGAGCGAAAGTGATCGTAACCCCTGAAGTATCGAGGATGGATGTTGAAATGTTGTGATAGCTTCACTGAAGATTACGCCCACCGTTATCAATACCTTTGTTCTCTGTCAACACATTAATGTTGTTACACTTTAAAATCGTAGCATTCAACACCGAACATAGTAGACAATGTGTTTTGTTCTTTTGGATAAATCGGCATCAGGTTTTGATGCGACAAACTAGCGATCATCATCATCATCATCATCATCATCATCATCATCATCATCATCATCATCATCATCATCATCATCATCATCAAAACTTATTTCCTTCTTAAGGAAATATCATATTTTTAAAAACAACCAAGAAAACTTAAAGTTCAGGCACACGAAGTGTACATTCATTGAGCTTCAATACTCTAAACGAACATTTGAAGGAGAGGGCGTGGCACTGACAACATGCAATGCTGCCTTCATTAAGAAGATTTTCAATACGGAGCCATCCTGGAACTGGAAACCCGATATTTCACCAAACAAAGTATAAGTGATAAAACTTTTACCTATACTTTGATTGGAGAAATCTCGGATTTCCAGTTCCAGGATGGAAGATTGTGTAAGCAGTAGCTCGTTTATCTTGGTATCAACTGACATCATTCTGAGGACGCATACTTCATACAAGTCTGAATTGCTGAACCATAATTTCCAAATGGTTGATAACCTCTGCTAATTTACAACTAAAAATTAAGGCCTATGTGGCCACATCCTTGTTTGTTTATGCTTGGCATGGTAAGTGATATTTTCTGCATGTAAATACCTGTAAGGATTCTTTAAAATTCATCTTTATTCATTTATTTTACATCTGTTTTCAACAATATATCTTAAAAAAAAGACCATATCTATTTCAGAGCGAGGCTCCATTGCTCATTCGACCTTTCCTGAAGGACATGACCAATTCAGAATTACATGCAGTTTTGACTGGAGGGTTCGCCACAATAGCTGGAAGTGTCATGGCTGCGTACATTGCTATTGATGTGAGGTCGTCTTTCAGTTGTGATATCCCGAATATATAACTCTACGTAAAATGTATTTCATTGTCAAATTATCATTTCGTAAAGTTTAAACAGATTATAGGAATATAGGTTAAATAAATTCGTTCTTACGTTTTATGATTATTATTACTATAATATCCTGGTCGATCCATTTTTGTATTTCATTATTCACGAGGAAGACATTATCTTTGATGTTTTACAGATGAACACTACTATTTAAATAATCACACATTATTCTGCAGAGTTTGACCACTTTCGTCCTAAATAGAACATTCTTGAGATTTGAAATTTAATTCAGATTCTCGTCAAAAGAGACATTTACTCATTCCGAAAATCATTAGTATTCTTTATGGTTTCGTTGTAATGAACTCGCTTCTCATTTAGAGAACGTTGCATTCCTTACTTGCATTAACCTGTATTTGCATGGTGGGTATCGTCGATGAAGCGGAATACGCTTTCCCATCTTCTTGTCATCGACTATTATTTTCCGTTTACTTTTTATGAATCGGTGTTTAAATCGTTGCTTTGTTAATATTCTGCATTCATTTTATCGATTTTTAATCTGATTTACGATTTTGTTGACATTCTCCGTAATGTCCCGTTGTTTTCCAATATGCATGCATATTAATAATTACTAATAATTTCAATTTTACTCTTGTAATACAGGTGCCCGCTAACCATCTCCTCTCTGCCTCTGTCATGTCTGCTCCAGCTGCCCTAGCAATGTCGAAATTAATATGTCCGGAGACTGAGGGAAGCAAGTCTGACCCCAAGAAGGTGTATAACATGGAACAGGGGTCAGTATTGCTACAACAATCGGTGCAATATTCGCTGGTTACGATGGTATTTTTTTCTCTTCTAAACGTAATTTTATTATTGAGTATCGATTACCGTAAATGAATGAAAAAATGTAATCACAGTCACAGCTGCTGCTGTCTGTTATGTCCATATGTGTAATGGTATCTTGCGGATTTGTGATTGGCACACGGTTCCCATAGGCTTCATTGTGACGTCAAAACTTTGTGGTATAACAGACTTTGACGTCATCAAAGAAGGCGATCTTTGCACCCGTTTGGATTTTATATCATTTTGATAAAATGCTAAAATACAGCTACAGTTCAATTATGTAGTACAAAAAATCTTCAATCAATTTTAATTGAATTTGAAATTCATGAAACTTGTCATGAATTTATTTGAGGCTCGCTAAACTCTCATCTTATAGAACACAAATAAAATGGGAATTTAATGGAAAGGTAGTTTTAATGGTGTAACAATATATTAAAAATGGAAATGACTGGTTTGAATTATTTGAATCACAAAACATGTTTATATTTATTTTTATTGACAGTCCCGAAAGAAATGTTATCGAGGCTGCTTCAAATGGTGCGTCCCAATCCATCAAGTTAATAGCCAACATTGCCGCCAACCTGATCGCTTTTATTGCAGTTTTAGAGTTTGTTAATGCTACGCTTGATTGGTTTGGGTCACGAGTAGGACTTGAGGAACCCGATTTTGAAAGATTAACATTTCAAGTAAGTTTTTTTTTCTTTTTCCAAACTGTGGTTTTATCTATAGTTAATAATAGTTATAATAATAATTGTTCAGGATTGACTGATAAGATTTGACAGAAAAAAAACTTTTGGTTATGCCATGATTTCCATGAAAAATATTAAATTTCTGCTTTTAAACAAAAACTGGAATATTTTAATCACAAAAAAAATCGTTACGATAATAACTCTAAATTGTCTGATGTTTATGCTTCACAGTTTATCTGTTCCTATGTTTTCTACCCTATCGCCGCCATGATGGGAGTCCCGGTTGGGCATGACTGTAGAAAGGTTGCCGAGTTGATAGGCATCAAAACCTTTCTTAACGAGTTCGTGGCCTATGGAGAACTATCTGTTTACGTTAATAACGCCAAGAATCTAACCTGGTACGAGGGACTTAACGGTACCACCACTGTCACCAAGATGTGGGGCGAGGTGAACCATACAGGGGCGTGGCACTACGACAAATGGGATATCGTTTATGAAGATATGAACATTACCCTCACTAAAGGAATACTATCGGTAAAATTGATTGATTGATTGATTGATTGATTAATTGTTTGTTTGATTGATTGATTGATTGATTGATTGATTGATTGATTGTTTGTTTGTTTGTTTGTTTGATTGTTTGATTGTTTGATTGATTGATTGATTGATTAATTGTTTGTTTGATTGTTTGATTAATTGTTTGTTTGATTGTTTGATTGATTGTTTGTTTGATTGTTTGATTGATTGAATGATTGATTGAATGATTGATTGGTTGATTGGTTGATTGATTGATTGATTGAATGATTGATTGATTGATTGATTGATTGTTTGTTTGATTGTTTGATTGATTGAATGTTTGTTTGATTGATTGAATGATTGATTGATTGATTGATTGATTGATTGAATGATTGATTGATTGATTGATTGATTGAATGATTGATTGATTGATTAAATGATTGATTGATTGATTGATTGATTGATTGATTGATTGATTGATTGATTGATTGATTGATTGATCGATGGATCGATCGATTGATTATGTACACTATACATACTGAAACCACATGTTACATCAGAAGTGCATCTTTGTCTATCTTTATATTATACTACTACGTTCATATATAAACATCGCGCTTTGTAGTTGTATGTTGAATGTTCAATGAGAAGATCTGCATATGTTGTAATTGTCCTATAATGGATAACTTGTTTCCATGCTATATGATTACGAATTCACTATCATAAAATTCAAAGATCTTCAAATGGTTTTTCTTTGGATGTCAAAATAATGATTTTTGTTAATGTAAACTTTTTAATCATAGGAGTGAAAAAAATGTCTGCAGGAATTTTCTTAAATATGGCACAAAAATTAAATCAGCTAAATATTTGTGTACAATGTTTTCGTACAGTTGTATTTTTTATTGTATTTACAGGATAGAGCCGTTGTTATATCTACATATGCACTTTGTGGCTTTTCTAATATCGCCTCGATGGGAATAATGCTTGGAGCGCTAGGAGCCATGGCGCCCTCTAGGAAGTCGGACCTCTCCAAACTGGTGGTGACAGCAATGATCGCTGGGAATGTGGCGTGTTTTATGACAGCAAGTATTGCAGGTAGATAGTTCTCTCGCATTTCACAGGTGTTTTTGTCTTTAATAGATATGTAAAGTTGATAGTGTCAAACCTGTTAGAATACATCGCATGGAGAACGCATTTAAGAGGAGCGAGCTAGTCATTTCATCAATTCTTCAGTCCCTGTATTGAATAATCGAATAGTACAGAAGTGGTCGGGTGGCCCAGTGATGGTGCACTTGCCTATCACCTAGGCGCCGGGGGGGCGATTCTCGGAACGGAAAACATATCCGGTCACCTGCTCGATCACGAGGGTTTTCCTGGGTAATACGGTTTCTTCCTCCGTGAGACCCCTCGCACGCGCCCAACCGGGCTAACAAAAATACTGAACATCAGCTTTTAAGCTTGTTTCGCAACTGACGTAAAATATATATTGTTTACGTTTATAGACAGTGCACAAACAAATATCTAATCACCTCTGTGTCTTGTAGACAGAGATATCTTGAACAAGGTGAAATGTATCTAACGATAATTACAAGACACTGTCGATATAATGTTATCTATCTACTTTCAACAGTAAAAATTGGTTATTTAGTTTCTGTTTGTTAAATATTAAATATAGCACTTGTAGATTTCATTCATTGTAATGGCATTGATGTCCTATGGAATCTGTAAAAATATTATGAATTTATCTACCTGTGACATAGTTACGCTGCATCGATGTTGTTTTAGACTTAAAGCCTGTTATTTGATTTTTCCAAGTCAAAGACATTGTTATGTAATGTAATCTTTTGTAGAACAGTTAAATAGCGGACTAATAAGACAAAATCCATTTAAATCTTATATCGTTATCAGGAGTACATTCTGTTCTTCCACTTTCAAGTTTCAGTTGTTTCAAATATTTCTTCGAAACGCTATATTTAAAATCTGATTATTCGTATCCTGTATTTTTTTGATAGGATTAAGATACGTTCTTATTTCATGTTAATGTTTCTTTTTAACTATTATCCTTAAAAAAATTACTGAAATCAGGTAAATGAACCACGCGCATTTAAATCAGTCACTATTACCAACCATACACACTAACTCTTGATCCTTTTCAGTAACATAGTGGAGTATTTTCGGTATCATCGGGTTTTTCTATCTCCCTATCTCAGCTAATGGTGTCGGAGATCTTTTGCCTTCTCGAAAACAAGATAATAGTTCAGTTATTTTAGTTTTCTGTCATTTTCTGACTGTGCTATTGCAGTTGTCTACCTTGTGTCACATTTCGAATACAATCGCCACAAGGCCTTTTCGGAACACCTCGTTCTATTAGGAATGAGGTGATCCAAATGAAGTTAACGAATTTATTACACCAATGTGAAATTAAAAGAATATATTTCAAAAACTTAATGTGCTTTTAATACATATGGTATCTGTATTGTTACTTTTAGATGATATAGCGATAAGGGAGTAGTGTCGAGCTGAGGGTCTCGCCAACATTTTACTTAAAGTTTTTGGTTTGTTTTAAAGTATGAAGAATGTCATCTCCTGTAATTCTTCATTAAAACCCTACTGTGATCACACGCAAACTTTTGTGGTGAAAACGAGTATCATATCTGCAAATTTACTTACCACTTTGGCGAAAACGTATATGATATTTGGAGACTTACTAAATGTCATGGTGATTTCGAGTATTATATCTAGAGATTAACTGACCACCATGGTGATTGCGAGTATTTTATTTAGAGATTAACTGATCACCATGGTGATTGCGAGTATTTTATTTAGAGATTAACTGATCACCATGGTGATTGCGAGTATTATATTTAGAGATTAACTGATCACCATGGTGATTGCGAGTATTTTATTTAGAGATTAACTGATCACCATGGTGATTGCGAGTATTTTATTTAGAGATTAACTGATCACCATGGTGATTGCGAGTATTTTATTTAGAGATTAACTGATCACCATGGTGATTGCGAGTATTATATCTAGAGATTAACTGATCACCATGGTGATTGCGAGTATTATATTTAGAGATTAACTGATCACCATGGTGATTGCGAGTATTATATCTAGAGATTAACTGACCACCATGGTGATTGCGAGTATTATATTTAGAGATTAACTGATCACCATGGTGATTGCGAGTATTATATCTAGAGATTAACTGATCACCATGGTGATTGCGAGTATTATATCTAGAGATTAACTGACCACCATGGTGATTGCGAGTATTATATCTAGAGATTAACTGATCACCATGGTGATTGCGAGTATTTTATTTAGAGATTAACTGATCACCATGGTGATTGCGAGTATTATATTTAGAGATTAACTGATCACCATGGTGATTGCGAGTATTATATTTAGAGATTAACTGACCACCATGGTGATTGCGAGTATTTTATTTAGAGATTAACTGACCACCATGGTGATTGCATGGTGATTGCGAGTATTATATTTAGAGATTAACTGATCACCATGGTGATTGCGAGTATTATATCTAGAGATTAACTGATCACCATGGTGATTGCGAGTATTTTATTTAGAGATTAACTGATCACCATGGTGATTGCGAGTATTTTATTTAGAGATTAACTGACCACCATGGTGATTGCGAGTATTATATCTAGAGATTAACTGATCACCATGGTGATTGCGAGTATTTTATTTAGAGATTAACTGATCACCATGGTGATTGCGAGTATTTTATTTAGAGATTAACTGATCACCATGGTGATTGCGAGTATTTTATTTAGAGATTAACTGATCACCATGGTGATTGCGAGTATTATATTTAGAGATTAACTGACCACCATGGTGATTGCGAGTATTATATTTAGAGATTAACTGATCACCATGGTGATTGCGAGTATTATATTTAGAGATATTTGCACCTTATCTCTTGAAATATTTCAGGACTATTCTACGATGGAGGAAAGTGATGCTGTCGACAAGGTCAAGAATGGTAATTAATTGGACGACCATTTTGAAGAACTATTATCTTGTTAAAATATGGGATCTAAATTTTATTCTGTGGGTCGATAATGTATGTGATAATATATGTTATGTAAATAATAGTTAACATTTTATCAAAAACCAATAAATCCTACATTCAATATTTAAGAGGTGTTTGATATATATTTTGACCATTTTATAAAGTTAGTCACTTGCTCAAATCTGTGCAACTATGTTGTCATTTTATATAGAAATGTAATGAAAATGAAAATGAAAAAATAAAGCAACTTTTTCTTATATACACTTTCAATGGCATAGAGTATAAATATATATAGAACATTTTACCTATTTTTATTTCCATTATGTCTTATTATGTGGAGATAAGATATGAAAGACATTTGGCAACAAGTCCCGTTTATACACATTCTTTTTGGGTATATGACTTAAAATTGTATATTTATTTCAGTGTAAGTCTGTCTTTAGCTCCTTAAATGTGCCTGCGTATTTTTCAGTTTCACATTTTGAGCATTTCTTAAATTGCATTTCAATTTTTAAACGATGTCAAAATGAATCCGTTATATAATGTACATAAATGTTTAATCAGGGAAGTGTATTTTTTGAGCATTTTTACATATGTTTAAACATTTTTTAAAAAATTTACAATGTGTTCAGTTTGGACTCATACGTTTGGTATGTTAGATTAAGTAAGTTTAAATCTGATTTACCTGTACCATTGTTGAATGAAGAGTTATTCCAAACGTTGATTACATTGATACAGATTAATTCAAAGTGTCTGTGAACGTCAATTTTCACATGTGTAAGATGTTTTCTAGAATTCTATACTGTACATTTTATCAGTGTTTCCATTTCGTTCGATTCATTCCTGAAGATCGATAATGACCATTGGTCGAATTCTATACATATCTTTTTCTACCATTCTAATGTGACTGTGAACATTTATTCTTACTGCATTCACATGTATCAATATTGACGTCATGCAGTAGAAACCATATCATGTTATACTCTGCCAAAACAGCATGCTGGACATTCTTAATTCTTGAAATCTCTCGAACTTCAATTTCGGCCAAGCTCGCACTTTTTTATTAATCGGTGCTACACACTGAAACAGAGATGCATTCTATCCAATTTCGAGGAGAGTATTTAACTCTACTCTTCGATAATTATAAGAATCGTCTCCAAGAATTTGCAATATGTTTGTGAAAGAAAACCTTATCATTTGGTAAACCCTATTAAAGAATGTATAAGGTACCGACTGTTTGAATTAACGAATGTAGGACTTAATATAACTACATTACAACTATGATTAAATCAATAGCTTTTGTTATTTTCAGAAACGAATTACTGAAAATGATTGATTTATGTCATTTACAGTTTTATTTGATATAAATTAGAATTACTGAATGTAACGCTTAAACAAGATAATATAAAAGCACTTTTCGAGTATTAAAAAACACTTAAAAGGGACACATGAAGGACACTCGATTGTGATAAATCAAAATGTTGTAATTCAGATGTCCATTACTCCAAAACACCAAAAGTCAATTACGTTGTAATTAACTCTATATGTAGATTTATACCTGACTGTTTGATATAGACAATTGTAAAATTCATTTCTGTACAACATCGACTTAATCAGATATTAACCATGTCGTTTTACACATGTATGCATTTTATTTCATACATAATTTTAAATAAATATATTTTAACATATATCGTTGTCCAATAATGTTTCCCTATACTTCGGAAATATTTCATCACCCTAAAAACTTGAAAACATGCCGGCCTCAAAAAATAAGCAAAAAGTGAAAATAAGCATACAGGTTCTTACCGCAATATGCCTGAATTTGCTTACTATTAACAAAAATAAGCCACATTTTATTTTCGAGTTTTTAGGGTATTGTGATTGGTACACATCATGTAAAGACTTTGGTGTTTCAATACCAGTATTTGTAGCTGCTGCATGTCGAATGGCATCGTTATTCGTTGGAGTTCACTTGAGAACTGAACGTTATTTGAATTGACCAAGATTTACAAAGTAAATGTCTTCAATGAAGCATCAGACGCTAACACTTTCAGAACAACTGTTCTTTTTGTCAAGGGTTTCCGTGTAAAGGAGGAGTGCCGGCACAGTGTGGGCCTTCTGGTGGCCATGACGAATACTTTTTATTTTTTGTCTATTAAAAACTTGAGGTCAGGCGGTAATGACATGACATTAATCTAAGGTCAGAAGGCCCAAACTGGCACTCCTTTGTCTTTTGTTCATATCTAATGTGTGTTTAAATTACGGTTTCGTTAACATGTTGTCATTTTCTTGTTGAAGTATCTGATGAAGTTAGGCGTGAGATGATACCTCTTTGAACAATGCTAAAGGCTCTAGCATATGGCAAATAGTAAACCATTCAGGGTAGTATGATGGCAATTTTGAAAGGAAGTAAAACGGTGTAAAATGGAAAAAAAAAATTAATACGAGGAAAACCCTACGTTTAACGGATATGTTTTTGAAGGAAAATTGAGATTTTGAAAGTTCAGTGTTAGACAGAATAGGGCCATCTTCAATAACGTGATAACATCAGGAAAAAGAGAGTTTTTTGTTACTGCTTGAGCTGAAATGTGTCGCTAATCAAAGTTTTAAAAAAAGCAGGCTGATATATCGCGTACACAATTGAGAGTCTAGAGCGTTGCTTTGCTGTTAACATATTTGTATAAAAAATGCGACATTTCTACCGCTGATAAAGCAAAAGACTCTTACCATTCCTGAACACCTAATGCTATCATCTTCGTACATTTCAATCAATTCCGTATGAATCTTATTTTTGTTCATATTAAGCCCCTCGTTTTAACTGATTGTGAATATAAATTAATTGAAAATGAAACGACTATTTAGTATCGACATCCCACGACATTTAATCACAAATGGTTTGGAAATCATCAAATTAAACTACCTACTAAATTACTATATAACATGCACCAACATGGCTTACATTATTACCAAACGATCTCAAATAGATATGTAAAGCAGCCAATCATTAAGTATTTTCAAACAGAGCGTTAAATAAGATTGTGACGAATAATTGATATAAGTGATACCTTAAATCAATGATATAACATTACTTGAGACTGAAATAATGCTTTTCTCATGGATTTTATCAAGAGGAACATGTAAGTATACCAACAGCTACGTAACAATTGATGAGTCATAGTAAAGTCTTTGGTCTCTGGCAACGCATTAACGCCTCGATGCAGTCGTCCCAGTCATAACATTAAACTTCATTCTAAAATACATAAAAACAGGTGTCACTTTACAGTTTCAGTTTGGACTAATTGACAAGTTTTTTATGAGAAAATAAGAGGTGAACGTAATGTTCTCTTTACTAAAGTACATTACACTTCCTAACGTGTTAATACTAATTATACAGTAGTCGTCTCTGCGGTAATGTCTTTTACGGTTTCACCAATTGTTTGCGTTGTAATTCAATGAGATATGTTTTACATGTTATAAACTGTTATTTTGAATATCTTAGCAATTTTCCAACACCAATATAGCATCGGGAATTAGCAATCATATCTATTGTGGCGCACGTGCTCAACCTCTTGACCCCTGACCTAATGCTGTATATTTGAATGTCGTTTCAAAGCACAAATTTCTAAAGATGTTTGAACTTTAAAGTGATACATGTCTAGCAGATTTGTTTGTGATAAAAAGATGATCATGTATTTATAAATCAAACGTAAGTGTAAATGAATGTAAAAGGAAGTTAACTACAGAATAACAAGGAAGTCATGAAGAGATTCGTACAAATAATCGCGAGAGATTTAAATTCGCGATTTGCTCTTCCTCGAGTATTAATGCGAAAATAAATCCCACACAAATAATAAGTGATTTGCAGTATACGAATAAAGTCAAAACACGCAAAACCGTGATAAACAAACAACAACTGCTCTTATACACTGCGAATGGTGTAGTTGTCATGGAATCTTGCTTTTGTCGATGTCATGGGGTGATGAATTGAGTTACTCTTGAGGCAAATTTTATGAAGTGTCTTACCGTTTGAGGATAAATCGAGAAAAACTCACAAAAACCTTTACGTGTACATACGTGAAAGGCGATTGGGTCACAACTTCGTCATTCGATCACGCTCTGGTCCCACTGATGACATCAAGAAACCATCCAAAAACTCAAATCGTATCTACATGTGTTTTGCAGCGGAGGTACTATCTTTGTTTACTTCAAAATTCATCAAACTAGTCAAAATTTAAAAGAAGAAAAAAGATATGTGTCTCTTTCAATATCTTTTCGTAAATACGTTTTTTATAAGAATGATTTCTATTTATAGTTATCTAGAAACAAAAACGATTATCATCTTATACTTTAAGGTATTTTATTTAAAAGCCAAAAAGCTAATACGATTTAATCTTTCCAAGTTCATCTGTGACCACACCAACGATATGAGTCGCAATAGATCGCAGGGAAGGTTTACAAACATGAATTTATTAGAAAAAAATATTAGGAGCAAAGTTCAAACCACTTTTAATTTTAGTTCGATTACACAAGGTTGTCTTTATGTTTCCGAGGTTAAGTAATATCGTTTCCATGTAAAATATCAAGGTCATTAGCAAATATGTAATCATTATCTCTAACAGATCAGCCGTGAGCAAATATAGGAACGTAAAGGTGTATGCGTGATGATTCAAGTATTTTCTATTTTTCAAATTAATTAAAAAAATCAGAAATGAAACAATTGAAAATATATTTATGTTGTATCCATATTGCAATCATGAGTACCAGCTGATAAAAATGGAAGAATTTAATGATAAGCACTATCTGTATTATATACATGTATCTGGTAAGGACTAATTTGTTAAGATTTAATTTTCTTAAATAGATATATGTGTTAAGAATCTGTTGTTGTTCACGAACGCTGTTGCCCTTATCTATATTTTGAAATATTTCAAAATTGAACCCAAGAGCATTCGATACAGTACGTTACTGACTTCAGTAGCTG